TGCTTGATTAAATCACCACATCAGCATAACTTAAGAAAAAAACCAGAGAGAGGAGAGTGGGGTCAACGGAACTGTATTGGAATAATTAAAACTCAATTAATTATATGTTAATCCGCCTCATTTTACATAAAATACTTAGGTTGTGTTTATTGGGGGAACCCCTCCCCTCCGCACGGAAAACGAAGCGACACATTTTCTCATGATTAATTTAATATTTAATATTTTTTAAAAAAATAGATTAGTATGAATTTTTTTAAAATAACTTTTATATATAAACTTTTTGCAAAAAAAAAACACAATTTAGCAATTTGGGAAACGTGCGCACGGAAAACAAGATAGAGGGAGTTGGGAAGAAGGTAGAACGAAAGCAGCCTTAATCTTCATATTTATCTTTATCTTCAAGAGAAAAGAACACATTCCTTGATAAGAGTATGGTCTACCTAGTTTAGAGTTTGAGGGTGTGTCTCAGACAGAACGAATAATTGAGGGGTTAAAATGAACTTTCTGTTTATCGGAGAAATTTGGACAGGACTTTGCATGCAGATTGCGGACAATGGACACTTGAGCACAATCTACGCACAGGAGTACGAAGGGTGACAGAGAAACTCTTGCAGCGGTAAAGGAATGTGCACTAAGAGCAAGTTTAATAGTATAGTCTTACTACCGGTTTTAATTTATTTATAACTAATCTAATAGCTAATTCATACAATAGCCACTTACTATACTATTAATATATGGTCTCACCTATCATACACACATTGTGTTTTGGAGTCCGTGCTGCAGTTGGCTATAGATCTGTAGACCGCTGCTCTTCTCTCTCATCGCTTATATTATTAAAATATGTTTATAGCTTGCTAATAGTCTGTTATTATACATGCTCTAACTATCCCTAGTTTTCAGTCACTTCAATGCCTAAACATGCGAGTCAGTAGTGTCAATTCAACGCAGCGCGGACAATAAAGCCAACCGTATCGCGTACTATCGCCTTCAAGACAAGTGCCCATCCAATTTAAGCTGACCGGCCACAACTCCATTTTTTTTCTGCAAAAAATGAATTTCTGCAAGTACAAAAGCAATAATTCTGCTTCCTGATCACATACAAAATTCGCAACTCAAAACACGTCTTTTTTCCTCGTCGCCAAAACGGCCTAGATTTTTTATATTATGGCCCCTTTTCAAAACTTATTTTATAAATGGATCCATAGATAAACTTATTTTAAGAATATACCCTTTTTTTTATGTTGTTGTTAAAGTTCAACGTCTCTAAACCAACGACACAACGACACTAGCACCAACACCCTTACATCCCCAGCAAACAAAATATAGAGGGGTCAGCGCAAAAAAAGATTGACAACGAGATCCTATTTGTAAATATTTTTTTTAAAAAAGAGCCAACATATAAATATTTTTTCCTTATAAATAGTTCCTCGACGCCAACTACTTTGGCACCAAAGATCTATTTATATAAAAAAATACTTATATTTTGGCCATTTTCAAAAAAAAATATTTTACAAATAGATCCACGTTGGAGAGGCAGAGCAAGAGCAACGGGAAACGGGACGATGGACAAACCAACGTCGAGGGAGACAACCACGGCGATAGATCCATGACCATCATGGCATGAGGTAGACGGTGAGCGAGCCAACATCAAGTGAGTCCGAGCGATGAGAGCCGTAGCGGGGAACAGGCTGACGAAGTCACCATCGCACTTGTCGTGCGGTAGTTGCCCGAGGAAACATGTTACGCTAGTGGTGGCGGACCTCACCATTCTCGCCCGTCTTGTGTCCATTCCCGTCTGTCTTCCATCTGCAAGGGAGCATGTATCTCGCCATGAGTGTGTCATCCAATGAGGATGCCGCTACCTTACTGTAGGAGATGATTGAGTTGGGATGACATGTAAGGCTCACATATCAATGAGGTGAGAGACAAGATACGTAGCGGGGTATTTTGGGTGATAGAAAAATACTACTCTATAAAAAAAAAAGAATTTCTAGCTATGAATCTGAACGCACGTGTGTCCAGTTTCGTAGATATGATTGATTTTCAGGGGTACATGCTTGCACGTGGGTCCAATAGTGTCCAGTGTGTAGAAAATGGCACATCGCGTAGTATAAAAGTACTTGTAATGATGTGGTTTTGAATAGGTAAATATTAATATGAGATATATTTGAGAAAAAATAGTCTTAGTGGTTTTTACTTTTACTACTACTCCAGTAGCATTTCTTTTTGCAGAACTACCGCGTACCTTTGGATGGTCCATGGATATGGCACAGAGGAACAGTTTGCTCGTATCTGCAGGTCAGACTGAAGGTGGGCCTGTAAAGGAGGAGTGTTGGTGCTCTGGGACCATGGCGAGTGTTGGAGGTCCTCTGTTTGGCCAGGCTGTTTGTTTGCCTCATTCCACTGTGGAGTACTTAATGGTACGTGGTACTCTTTTTGTACGCTTTGCTGCAACTGGGATAAGGATCCGAGAGAGGCTGGGATATACATCTCCCGGTAGGTATATCCCGAGATAGTACAGTTGATTCAATTTTGCTGTTAGGATGAGTGATCTCTGAGAGCCTGGAACTGGACGGGTGGGGCCGTGGGAGAGCTTAGCCTTTCCAGCAGGCATATTAGTCAAACTGAAATATGACGTGTTATTAGTTACTCCCTCCGTCCAAAAAAAAAAAAGACAAACCGTGGGTTCTCGTGCCAACGTTTGACTATCCGTCTAATATGAATTTTTTTATAATTAGTATTTTCATTGTTTTTATATGATAAAACATGATTAATACTTTATGCGTGATTTATCTTTTTAATTTTTTTCATATTTTTTTCAAATAAGACGGACGGTCAAACGTTGGACACGGAAACCGGGGTTTGTCTTTTTTTAGGACGGAGGGAGTAGATGATGATGCAACCCGTGAAGTCAAACCTTAGATTCTTAATAAACCATTACTCCCCCATTTTAAAATATAAGACACAACTACCCTTAACCTAAAAATCAATAAACAATTATTATCATCTTCTAGTTTGGATCATCCTAATAAATATAATGCATGCATCTAATAGAATTAGATATCTTGAGGGTGAAGGATTTAAAAATAATAATAATATAGTGGAACTGGAGAAGATGTGTTAATTAATTGAAGGCATACATGCACGTCTTATATTACAAAACACCTGAAAAAAATGGTTATACCTTATATTATAGAATTGAGGGAGTTATACATTTAAAATATTAAAATTTAATATGTAAAAAGGATGTTAATAGATTTATCATGAAAACCACTTCCACAAGGTTATAAATGTTTTATTATTTTTGCAAATATGTAATTAGGAAAATAATAATAATCAAACATATGTATTATAGATTGTATCGATGTCGAAAACAACATAAGAAAGAACATGAACTAAATTTACCAACGATCAACAACTAGGTGGTAATTGACATGAATATCATCATATGCTCTTGCAATCTTTTATCAGGTTTATTGAATAATAATTTGTTAATACCGTGTCACAGTACAATAAGCCAACTTTTATCAGGTTTATTGAATAAGCCACGATTTTTTTTATAGCCGAGTGGAAATTTCTCGAATCACGTGAGATAGTGTTTCCTCCTTCCGGAGTGCGGTTTACGCTTTGATGAACTGAATGGCAATTTAGGAGCTAATCTTTGCTACTTACTCCAAGAATGTCCAAGAATAGCTCTAGCAGTCAACGATATACCCAAGAATGTCCTTCCATAAGACTTAAAAATTTATTGATACGGTTGCATTTGACTAACTGGTCTTGAAATCTTTTGTATTTGTCCACTTGCAGATTTGATTTACAAGTATACTAGTGGGCTCAGCACTCAAGTTCAGCCGTCTCATAACTAAAAAATGTCAGCTTCTTCTTTGTTGTCTTGTACAATTTGACGCTAGAGTCTCAAGATATCGTACTAAATCTGCCATTACGAAACACTAGGCGCATTTGAAAAGTGTAACACTTGTCTGGGTCATATATGTAGATTAGGAGTACCATCCATTTCAAACTGACGGACAGAAGGAGAAAACAATACTGTGAAACTGTCCAAATGTCACCTTGTCCTAATCAGCAGTACTCCCTCCGTCCAAAAAGACTCAATTCTTGGGTTTTCATATCCAACATTTGACCGTCCGTCTTATATGATTTTTTTATAATTAGTATTTTTATTATTGTTAGATGATAAAACATAAATAATACTTTATGTATGACTTATCTTTTTAATTTTTTTATAATTTTTTTAAATAAGACGGACGGTCAAATGTTAGACACGGAAACCCAGGAATTAAGGTTTTTTGAATGGAGGGAGTACAAAGTATACTAGACTTTCTACTTCAGTTTACTTGAGCTGCCCGTATGCAACAACCTTGCTTCTCTTTGCTTTGACCCCACAACTAAACATCAACCAAAAGGTAGATACACCAGCTCTGTCAGTACAAAGCCTGAATCTGGGAGTGCTAGATAATAGACACGGTGATTCTAATTAAGTACTATACAGAGATTGCCTTGTTTTGGTAAGTAGAATGTTACAATCTGGTCGTGCAACTACTGTTACCATCCAACAAGACAGCAACATTATTTCCCTTTTTCTTGCTTAGAATCTACTTAGCCTCAGCCGTATACAATCAAACATACCAACAATGACAGCTAGGAAATGAAAGTGGGCAACTACTCCAAGCAGAATTTTTCCACAAAAAATGTATAGTTTCTTTACTCGTTCATCTTAGACTTTTAGGGGCCGTTGTGAGATATGGATTTTTTTTTCATATTTCTAAAAAAATACTTGGAAGATTCATATGAAACGGTATCGAGGATACTCCCTCTGTATTAGAAAAAGCTACTCCCTCAATCCTATAAAAAACCAATGTACTAGATGTGACACATCCTAATACAACAAATCTGGACATACATATGTCCAAATCCATTATACAAAATATGTCACATCCAGTACTAGATTTACTTTTTTTTTTAATGGAGGGAGTAACTTCTAAAGATAAATTATCTAGGTTCGTCTCTAAAATTTACATTATCTTTTTTTTACAGGAGTACTAATACTAATCACTTCCGATTAGACCAGTCCAAACTCCAAAGTGCAAACTCCAAGAAGAACCCTAAAAGTACAGCTAGACGGCCAAGGAAGCAAACAAAAAAGGAGAGATCAGCAAAGAAAGCCGAGAAAACCTGGCACAGCCAGCCAGCCAGCTACCCATGACATACACATAAAAAAAAAAGAAACAAAAGCAGCTTGAGATGTCTCTTCCTCTCCGATTGCCACCCAAAAGCCCCTCTCTTTTTCTCCCGGACCCCCTCCTCCCCAGTCTCCAACTCCACCATTTGGCTCATCCAGTCATCGCCCACTTGCTCTAGATTCATCCCCAAATATTTTCTTCTCAAGGTTTATTATAGCATTTCATTTTTTAGAAGAGTTCACAAACAGGAGTAGATACAAGAACATTCAGGATGAGTGTTGATCCATTCCGGTTCTATGTGTAGGAAGAGGAATAATGGCATGCATTAGTCATGTCTTGAGCAAGAGTTGGAGTGCTGCTGCCACAGTAGTCTTCTCCTTTTTGTTCTCTAGCATTTGGCCATAAGCCATAGTTCTTTCTCGAGCTGTTGTTGCTGCAAAGGCATTGTCGCAAAGTCATGAAGAATTTGATGTGGCAATTAATGCCTATCCGGAGAAAGAGTTGAAGCGACTGGTTTTCCAGGATTTGTTGCATTTATTCGCTCATAAGAAACGGCAAGAGAGAGAGAGAGAGATAGAGAGAGGGGAAGCAAGAAGAGGCTTTGAAAGATTTTTGAGTTTGAATTTCTTGTTCTTGTGGGCGTGTGCGTGTGGAGCGGTGGAGGCATGAAAGGCGGCAGCTCCGCCACCGCGGCGAGCGGCGGCGGCGGCAACAGCCTGGCGATCGTCGAGCGGCAGAAGCCGGCGACGTCGTGCGTGGCGTCGCTGTTCCAGATGCTCGCCAAGAAGAAGCTCTTCTCCTCGTCCTCCAAGAAGACCAAGCTGCTTCCCCCAGGTGAGATTGCAAGGATGGTAGTAGTACACTGTTCAGGCTTCTTCTTCTTATTATTCTTCTTCCTGGATTGTGCAAATCAGATGTGTTCAATTGGCTTTTGAACCATTTCTGGTTTTTTTCTGAATGGATTGTACTGCCATTTCTGTTTCAGTGCGCACACAGAAGTTCTCGCCTGGGAGACCACCTGCCGGCGGCGAGAAGACGCCGGCGGCCAAGATGAGGACTCTGCTGGTATGGTACTTTTCTCCTTTTCTTTTAGCATCTCGTTGTAAAGCTACAATTGTTTGTTGATTCTTTATGAGATCTAGTTGAATTTTCCAAAGAATATGCCCAAAAAAGCTCTCTTTTTTCTTCCCCTTTAAGCCAATATTTTGTGCTATGAAGCCTCTTTTTTTTCTCTTGTTAAAAAAATCAGTTAAACAATTAGCTTTACATTCAGATTTCTTAGCTTTCTTGACCTAGGAAAGTTTTTCCGGTGCCTTTTCAGAAATGGAGTTTTTAACACTTTAGCTTTAGCTTTACATTAACATTTCTTGATCCCTTTTTACCTCCTTTTCACCTTTGTTATTTATTTTTAGAATGCTAAGTTGCTGGCTCACCTTGTACTATTTTCCTTCAGCTTGATGCTCCATACTATCCAAATGAAGTTACCACTCGCTTGCCACCTCCTGGCCAAGACAACAAAAGCAGTGAAATGTGCACACCGGGTGTGGTAGCCAGGCTAATGGGGCTCAGCGCAATGCCAGCCACCAGCCATCAAAAGGCAGTAAAAACCATGGATGCCTCCGAGCTTGGTGGTCACCGGAGTGAATGCTCCTATGGAAGCATATACAACTCGCATCAGAAGCAACAAAAGCCAGGGCATATCAGAGATGGCCGGCATGACAATGGCAATCAGCTCGATGCAGATGCGCAGCCGGTGTGGTCACGGAAGCATGCAGCACACAAGTTAGCCTCACCTATTAAGAGTCCAAGATCAGTTTCAAGCAGGAACAAGGTTAGGCTGATTGAAGCAGCAGTCAAGGTCCTGGAACCCGGTTTACAATCCAGGCACCACCATCAGGCTCGGAGGCAAGCGCGCCTCGAGTATAGATGCAACAGCAGTGATGTGCAGAGTGCTGCTGAAGCCATGCACGATTTCTCCGATCAATTCGCAAGAGAAATGTGTGATGTTGATGCATCAAGGTCAGGTGCTCAAAATGTAGGAGCCACCTCTCTGCACAATTCTACTTCCAATCAGTGGTCCGAAGAGGATACTATGAGGAATGTTTCTGTTAGGAGGCCAAACCAGAACATATCATGTCAAGCACAATCTGAAGGAAACCATAAGGGTCAGAGGAACGGATTTAAGGACAGTGGTCAGAGAACATCAGATGATGTCCTTGTTTCAAGTCAAGGTGTCCAAAAAATACAGCCGAAAAACATATCCCGAGAGAATGTTGATTGTAGACCTCTTAAACAGAACAATCTGAAGCAGAATGCATTGCCTGAAACTTATAGAGCAGCAGATACAGGGCATATGGTCCAAAGGCAGAAACATAGAGCTAAGGAGCAAAATGTGGCAAACACAGCCAATGACTTTGTCTGTTCAAACAGAGGTATGAACAACAGTGCATCTTTGAGGTCCAAAGGAAAAGTAAAGGATAAAATCGGCATGCCACATGGTAGTGCGGAGAACAGGAACTTGAGCACAAAATGTCACCGAACCAGTGGCCTGCATGGTGATTGTTCTAATAAACAGATATCAAAGACTGCAACACTGAAAGCTACAGAGAAAGACATGATAATTGCAAAAGGTGCAGGGTTAGTTAGTGAGAAGCCAAAGTCTACCAGTCCAAACTCTGTAAGGAATGACTCGCGGAGAAAGGTAGAGTCACGCATTGCTTCTAGGGGTAACAACTCAGGCATCATTTCCATCTCTTCTAATTCACCGAGAAAGGCTGTCCTCGCTTTGCTGAATGGTCATACTAAAGGATCAGATAGTGTTGTTCTGGGATCTCCAACTGGTTCTTGTCCTAAGAGAGACTATCGTAGGGACTGCCAAAATATTTCTTCAGAAAGGGAATTGGTCTTGAGTGAAGCTTTACAAGGCATATCAAGTCTGGAAAGTGCAGAATCAGTGTGCTTTAATCGAAATGAGTTGAGAAACAGAGAAATTCTGGACGACAGAGTAATGTCTTCATTGTTTCGAAAGACGAGTGCTATCAATGTAATGGAAGAATCTCCAAGTGATGAATTTCTATGGCAGTGTAACTTTCTGGACAGTCTGACTTTTGGCTTCAGAGAGGTTCCTAGAAGTGGTAAATTGCGTGAAACTCATAAAAAGCATGAGGTCAGTAATTTTGGTTTTTCCTGTTCTCTATCATGGTGCAATACCGAGTTAATTCTCATCAAAACTGCAAGGGTCATTCTTCTCTGATGAATATCTTTGGCTGTCATCATCTGCAGGTTACTACAAATGCTAGCGATCCATCTTATTATGCAGATGATGAGTGCTTTTCTGGGAGCCTGCTCAAAACTGCAGGTAAGGGACCTTTGTTTAAGTGCATTGACTAATTGTTGGTTAGGTTGTTTACAAGTAGTTTGTTACTACGATCTCTTGTGACAAAACACTATAAACACAAAAAAATCGTATAGTTAAGTCACAGTTTTTTTAGTTGCATGCTGACCCTTTCATGCTTTTCCAACCACTGCCAGCATCAGAAGCTGGATTCAGAGACCGACGCCGCTCGGAGAATTGCACAATGCAACAAGATGGAACTAACAAAAGAAACTCCAGGTGCTCTGAAACTAATTTTGGCCAAGACAGCAGCAACCTGATACACCCTGGAGAGGTTGCAGCAACTGTTGAGCTGCTACTAACAAACGTTCGCCGGTCTACTTCTACTACTCCTCCACGGACATCAAAGGCACCATTCAAGGCGTTCCTTGTCAAGACATTCGAGTCTGCTCTGACCACCGTGACCACCACAAGCTCCACGAAGAAGAAGAAGAAGAAGAAGAACGGGTTCAGCTTCAACGCCGGCGTCGTCAAGGCCACAGAAGGGGAGAAGAGCAGGAGCCCGCTGGGAAGCCTCGCGTTCGATTCCGTCATGGAGTGCTTGGACTCGCTGTTCACCCAGTTCTGCGACTCAGGATACAGGTCGTTCTCGAGGGTTCCCCTGATCTGCCCCGAGGAGAGGCTGGCTGCTCAGGTGGACAGGGAGATCGCGAGGTGCAGCGGCATGGCCGGGAAGGAGGTGGATGAGCTGATCGCGAGCGACGTCCAGCACTCGGGGGTGGAGATCGGCGTGGATGTCCTGCACGAGGCGTTTGAGATTGGTGCCCAGATCGAACGGGATCTGCTCCAAGAGCTGGTGGCCGAGATCGGGATGGATATGTTGAGGCGTTTGTGACGTGATGATGATGATTTCGTAGCAATATGGTGAAATTATATGTTACAAGTTTGGTCATTTTTGCCGTGTGCGTTGCGTGCGGTGACAAAGGCGAGGGATGAGATTGCCGTGGGGGTTGACCGGGAGTGACCGAGTGAGGCCGTGAGGGGGCGATCACTGAGGCGCCAGGCTAGGCGCCACGCGACGCGACGCTTACACGTGAAGATGACAAAGGCGGCCTGTACGTACCGTGCGGCCGTGCCTGGCGGCCAGATGCGATGATGCATGATGGGCTGGGCAGTGGGTGCCCACCGCGCGCTAACGCGATCCAGTGGCGGCTGATGCCAATGCATCCAATCGGTGATCGCGTGCTGATTGCCCGTGCCACGGCGGTGGGGGGTCCAAGACCGGCTGGGCCGATGCGGATCGGCTCGTTGCCGTACGCGACTTTAGTTTTAACCAAGTGGGAAGGTTTGCGCACAAGGAATCTATCCCAGCTGTTCATGTTTATGCAGCGATTGAATTCTAAATGATTTGTTGTTGTTTTTTTTTACTCTGGAACAAAGGATTGACAGTTGACACCCATGAAATTTCTTTAGAATTGATAACAAAGATGCATACAGCCGCATCGGTTGGCATATTTTCTGAATATGCCAAATGGCATATTTACAAACGAAAATCAATTTGTGAATAAAACTTTTATATATGTGTTCTTAGCGATCTAAAAGCAAAGGCTGAAAAATAAACTTCGATGAAAAAACCCTAAAATCAGCTCTAAATTTAACGTTGAAAATTCAAATTTTGGCTGATAAGCATATGAATATGCCAAACGATGAGGCCCATAGAGATTTTAGAGGAGAGTTAGCACAAGTTAAATCTCTTACAAAATTTCCTTTGCATCCATCTCTCTTATCCCATTCCTTTTCAAGCTCTAGCCAAATAATCATTCATGTACTTTTCATTTGTTGCAGTCTATTTTTTTCTATTCATGTTTTACCATCCCTGCATTTCAAAGGAGCCTCAGTGGTCACTTCCATATTTGGGTACCAACAATTTTGTTGCCCCACATGCCACCAATCCCCTGGGAACTAACACCCTTTGTGCCCATTTGGTTGGGCTTCTCTTGATTCTCTAAAGAATTTGGCCCCGGAAGCTGAAAGCTCTACCAATTTACCAAACATCCCCGAATATTAAACTAGAGATTGTGCGCACCTTAGACTGTGACACAATTTCATAAGCGCCCACCATTAGCATCTCCTATGACTTGTTAATCGCAGCAACACACAAGAGCACGCATGACGCATGGATTTCTTTAAGTTGATGTATATTTACAACAATATATATATTCAAAAGGAATTTCGAATATGAGAGGGAAAATCTCGCCTGGTTAATCTGATGTTGAACAATCAGCTCTATCAATCTTGATAACTCTAGTGTTATATGAACCGCAGAAGCCGCATTTGTGATACAGCCAATGGAACCGAGACCTTCCTTTTCTTTCACAATCGTTACAAAGTATATCCTGGAACAATCAATCATATCAAACGGTATACCCCAGCCACTGAAATTTTTTTAACTAGGAATAGGAGAATAATTTACCTGGCACCGGTCCCGGTATTCCTCAGGAAGCTCTTCTGCGGCCAGCAAGCCATCAAGCATGCCAAAGTATACCTGCAGAGAAACGCGATTTAAAGAACATACATTAACTGCACTACTGAATCAGAAGAACGGAATTTTTTACAAGCTGTTCTGTGTATGGTAAAAATATGGAGTTGGAGAAAATATAATCTATGGTGAATGAAAAAAAATGTTATTTAAGTGGTGTAGCTTACTGTCATATCTCCCAAGGATTTAGAGCAGATTGGGCAGGTGTAGTGACTACAGGTGTACGCCTGAAATTTACAAACTTGTCAGAACAGCACTACTCACAGTAAGAGATATCGCTCAAGAAACCATGCATCAGAATGCGACTAGATTATTGTACCTGAAAGCAAGCTGAATGCATGAAATGGCCACAAGGTAGACCTTTAACTGCTGCACTCGATGTAAATAGGAAGTCGCAGCAGATTGGGCAATTCATCTCTAGCATCTTTTCTCGACATTTATGCTCTATCAATTTCATGCCCAGGCAACAGTTGCACTTCATGCAATGGAAAAAATCAATACCCAATCCTTGCCCAAGACGACACAAATTGCAAAAGGGGCAATGGTACACACTCCTGAAAAAAGATTCACTATTAGCGTGGTCACCAAAACATTGCAAAGTTGGACCCCATCAATCTCCCGAGTTAGCAAAACTAGCAACCACGTCCTTTTTTTTTTTTTACCTTTCATCGTCAAAAAACTTGCATACGCTGCAATAATACTTTGCCATGGATAGCCCATTGCAAGAAGGGGTCTGGCAATTTGGACCAACTGGTTGAACTTTCAGGCATTGCATGCACATCATTTCCACCGTTGCTTTCCTGACATATCAGCTCCCCAGACTTAGCAATATCATTTAGCATTTTATATTATAACAAAGCTATAACAACCAACACATAATATGATAGAAAACAGGAGAGTTTCTGCCTCCTATCCTCTCTCACATGTTCTTAAAACTCTGTATACACCTATCATGCAAATACAGCGATTAAAAAACTAAAGACGGAAAAGTTCATATTGGACAACTTTTTGGGCCATCGCATCATTTCAACCAAACATTTACTTGGGAGGAAAACAACAGATGAAGAGAAGAACGAAAGGGACAATACAAAGGCCACAAGTCATGCCTAAAATAATCATTCTGCCTCACTGTTTTGCACAGATATAAATTTATCACAAGGTTCTCTAACTGTAGTTAAATCTTTAACCACTGCATGCTTATTGATGTCTGTTGTTTGGTGTTTAAAAATGAATATTGAACACATTACTACTGCGACCAATACAGAAGTATCATTGGCAGTAAATCTCAAAAAAATAGACAACATGGTTGCACTGAGTTTACCTTTCCATTGTATGGTCACTAACTTTATCATGACAAAACCTGCATGTGAACAGTTTATTGCAGCATGCAGCAACAAGTTTGCATTTCCTTTTGTAATGCTCACAGCCAAAAATCTGATTCTCTGGATCTCGGTATGAAGGACAACATCCAGGTAATACTGTACATCCATTGCGATCTTCTGACTGAGGTTGGGGCGATTTCTGCTGAGCAGCTATCCAGCGGCTGAAAAAATATAATTAGCAAAACAATAGTCATTCAAAATAACTTCCTATATTGTAGTGGAGGAACAGTAGGAAAAGATCCTAAAATTGTTTTCTGAAAATTTCATATAAGAAACCTGGTCATGAGATTTTGGATTAGATAAGCCTTCCTCCTTGGGTCAAGAGTAGAATCACGAGAAACCTTTCGTATCTCAGCCTCAAGCTCACTCTGGTTCATTCGGAAGATGTCCTTCCAACCAGGCTTAAACATCTGTTCACTCTGATCGAACTTTTCCTGGAAATGATCTTCTACAGGCCAAAGCAAAGAACAAGAGTTAAGATAATTCAAAATCTGATCATGAAAACTGTAGTGCTTAATCTTTTATCATAAATATACATCCCAGACCCACTACTTTTCTCTCTTCTAACACCATTCTACCTTCCTTTATGCTAAGTCCAACTTCACTAAATCTCTTTTATCACAAATTTACATCATAATAGATTTGCACTATCGCTAGCTAGGACAGTTGAAATTAGTCATCAATTGGGAAGTCCTCGTTGTCATGGTGTTATCACTTATCACATATCAACAAATACATGGATATAATTTTACAGCTTCTTTGCTTTTGAACATTTCCCGAATTTCCTTTTGGCCAACTACATTTGTCCAATTAGTGATAATTTTTATTCAGATAACACAGAAACTAACCAATGTATGAAGTTTATATGTTGCTCATTAGAAGGCCAATCTTATTTGTTGATAACCATTGTAAGGGATAACACCTTTATCTAACACAATATATAACAAGTGGGCCTCGATAGAAGTTTCTTCAATGGGGAAAAGGATATAGCTTTGACACAATTTTATGAAATGGAAAACAGTGAGTGCCTACATAACATAGCAAACTAAAATATGGTGGAAGTGGTTGAAGAGGGGAGATGGGATGGAAATTAATTGAGCAGACCTTCTGGATGGGAGGCATCGCTTGAAGGGCCAGAAGAAGTAGGTGATCTCTTCCACCATTCATTTAGCCATTCATCAAACATTGTATTCTTAGTTACTTGCCTCCATGTGTCCAGCATATTGTTCTGTTCATCTAGACTAAGCGCTGATGTAACCCAGGGTAACATTGACTGCAGAACCTCAGCTCCTGTACTTCCAATTATACGGCCTACAATCTTATCCTGCTCCTCTACAGAAAAATGTTTATCAAATAGTGGCCACAATTCAAGTTCTTCTCTATGGACATGATTAGACAGAGTAACCCGGATAGACTTGCACATTCCTTGAAGCTTTGTCAAAAGTTCATTATTCTTTTTGGACCAATCGATCCTATTATATGGATGAATGTGGTTCGCTCCAACTGCATCAGCACCACCAAGAGGATGCTTCAAATCAGCATGCAATTGTGAAAGCTCAAAAAGAATAGTGGATATATCTTTAAATAATTCTTCTTCCTGCTTGTGGTCAAGAGTATATGAGTGGCTGACATTGTGCAGTGTCTCTTTCGATTCAAGAGCAGGAAATACAATTTCATCTTCAGCATTGCTGTGTGCTCTATAAAGACCCCACAGTAAACGAAACCTTCCGATGAATTGGCGAAGGGAAGATTCATCCCCATCTATGAGCTTTCTAGATTCCACATCTAAGAACTCCAAATCTTTGCGAATTGCCTTATGAAATTTGAATATTGTGTCAATTGGCCTTGAAATGTTATCTGGGCCAGAAAAGGCTGCATCTGTCTCCCATGAAAAAAGACTTGAATACAATGAAGGAGCAGAATAATTGAGAGACAGCGATCGGAAGGACTCTGCAGAAGCAAACGAATTGACAGCAAGATTGCTAATTTCTACCCTTAACCCAGGAATGTGACAAGGTCTGTTTTTACATGTCAATGCTATATCAGCCGTTTGTGAGCAGTTGCTTATGTTACTAGATTCTGTGTCATTCCATTTCTTGGCTGGCCTAGAACAAATATCTGATTGTAAAGAACATGGACATAACTGGCAGTCTTTAAACCCATTTTCATCCAATGGGCTGCTCAGTGCCCTTGGTGTCAAGCATATGAATTTTCCAGAGTTAGAGGTGCCCTTTGAGCGACCTTTGCATGCCCAACCAGAGAGAAGAGTGACCAATGCAGCTTCAGAGGAAGGTGCTGTTCAGTTCAACATATTAGTAAACAGTAAAATGTTGAGAATTTTTTTTTTTTGGAAAAAAAAAACTGGTGTTTTAAAGAAGAAAATAGTAAACTTGGAAAATAACCTGCCAAAAACATATTCTGAAGAAAAGCTTCTGCATCCTGATCATTCAGCTTCGATACAAACCACGGTAAAACACGCTCCAATAACTTCAACGGTATGACACAGAGACTCTTATATAAAAGTTCCCTTTGTTTCTCTGATGAAAAATGAATCCTAGCTTGAGGAAGTACCTGGATATTTAGATGAATTACATGTTAGACTACATTGGTCACGTGACCCAAGTAGACAACATTCCTCCTTAACTACAGAGTTTATGTCTAAAATACTAACCTTTGTTTCCTCATTTTTGAAGTGCCTCTCGATTTTCTCCATTATCTGATCAGCTTGTGAACATAGCTCAGAGTAAAAATCCACTGCTGTTGATCTGGCTCCTGTTATTTGGATTTGTTCAATTAAACATCTAAATTTATTAAACCGCCGTTCTTCTTCAGCGTGCTCCTGCTCAAAGGACACTTGATCGTTGACTGCTGGAAATATAACCTGATCCTCTGCAATACTGCAGATCAACATATAAAATCGGCTAGGCCACTATGCTTGGCAAAATCAATATTTGTGCCACAATTCTAGAAATTCCAGTTCTTTTGAAAAAGAAGATGTAAGCTCTACTATTAGCCACATAAAACAAAGAATATGTTATAGCAGGGAACTGGTACCACACATTTATTGTGCTTCCCAGTATCTCGATTGCTCATGTTCTTCTAAGCTGTGTAATGTACAACTGAAGAAGTAAATGTGTTTAACATGATAGAAACAAGAGCTAATCAATTCTTATGTTGCACATTGAATAAGAAAGTGTTTACATGCAAGCTTTTGAAACAAAGTGGCGCATGAGTTGAGATTCAGAGCCACATACCTGTGGAAGATGCACACATCCGCAATAAATTGAAGTTTCACATTAAAGTCTGATATATCCGAGAAGTCCCCAGATTGTTGGATCCTTCTTGTTTCTTCTACTATATCGCTCAATTCTTTTCGGATAGCATTGTGCCAACACAAAATCTCATCTATTGGATGCATAACAAGCTGACTATAACTAGATTCTGCACGCTTTCTCTTTCCAGTTTTAAAGTGCTCATGTGAGCATCCATACTTGTCTGTTTGATCAATAGCATCCTTGCATCTAACATTGCTTTTTGAACAAGGACTACAAAAATCATGTGATATTGTTTTCACTGCTTCCCCTCCAATCCACGCAAATACAACCTTCACAAATTTCGAAACTATAGTTAAGTAAAGCATGGCAACATTATTGATAGAAAACGATGCATCAACACGAGACCTGTTGGAGAAGTTTCTCGTCCGGAACTATTTTATGTAAGCAGTTAAGAATATCTTGGTGCTCATCAGATGAAACAGAAGTAGCAAGCCATGGAAGGAACTCTGCCATCATATTGACAGGGATGCTGCATAAGAATTGCCAGACTAAATCAGCTTGCTCTTCATGTGAAAACTTCTTAATGAGCAGTGGGAAGACCTGAAACATTCAGAAATGATTAGACACCAACAGTGTATAGCTGTATGCCCTATGCTGAGAGGAACTGATAATGATAGAGGACACATAATATACCAATATACTGATTAATAATATACGTATGATTTTAAAAAGTGCATGAGGAATTGTCATCAAGTACATGGTCTAAATTAATTGCTGCAGCATTTGAGAAACTATCATCGGCCAATGTTGATCTTTATAGTTTAGCTTATCATTTAGTTCTCTAGGCTATCAAAACTTAAAAACACTTTAATCAAAGCTTATATACAATGCAAGCTCAATGTCCTTATACTGCTTAAAGCCGAGTTTTGAACAGTAAATGCAAGTGAAGACACATAACAAGATAGCTCCGTGTCATATATAGAACACAGAAATTGGTGAGCATAAAAAAATGCCAGCCTATATATGCTCAAGCATTCTGCAGTTGGCTTCTGGATTACAAAGCCTTGACAAACACACACACACACACACACACACACACACACACACACACACACACACACACACACACACAGAGTAGATAAATAATTGGAGTCAGCACTATAGTTCGTTCTACTTGCATGGTGAGTACCAAGTAGCAAGCAAGTACTTGTGAAGTGGATAGATAGCAGACTTCCAATAAGCAGAAGCGCATAACATTGGTAAGAAATAACTTTCTACAGGGCCTCACCTTCAAGCAAATGTAGAAATGAAGTTGCTCTTTATATGGTCTGTATTGTACTGTACTCTTCATAACTACAGATGCTATATATTCTTCTCTTATGTAGCCCCTTATCTCTAAGATTAAATATATCAAATAAAAAATAGATCCAGAAGCATCATTCCAAATACTTTTATCAAACAGTTGCCAGCTTGATATGATAAATTTCAATATACTAATATAGAACTCTAGTGCACCCAATTAGACTATTGCATCATGTCAGCGCCTCTCATATTGTTGCTCATGAGAAATAGAAAGGCATGTTGGTCTTATTTCGACAAATGACATACAAAGGAATTAACAGAGTAAACAGGGGAAAAGGAAACCTGCTCTTCTTCCTTGGACATATGTTGGGTTATAAACGTTTGAATTGCACCTGTACAGGACGCGAGTTCCCTCCGAAGACCATCATCATTCCGCACATCAAGCTTTAACAGAGAGAACAGGTGTGCAAACAGATCATTTTCCCCCTTATGTTCAAGGGAATACGTGCCTGCTACATTTTTCACTCGAATATCAAGTGCTGGAAAGATAACCTGCAATCAAAAAAACAGATCTTATGCCCCCCAAACGTTCAATATAGTTATATATCATGAATTATGAGAAAGGTCTGGAACTGTTTCACAAATATATCAATCTATAGGTTTGGGGGAGAATTAGCTAGAAGTCAAACTAGTAAGTGTTATGTTCTAAACAATCAACACGACGCTGGTGCAGTCCTTTATGTATAGAAGAGTTTTGCAGTGCAGAACCGAAAAGCTTACTACTGGCACAACATAAATGCAAAGAGAACTAAAATACCCTACCTTACCTATGAAATACCACAGCAACTGTCGTGAACTCCAGCAAAATTCATTTTCATTCAGTGCAGAACAATATTCAACTTTTCATGTTCGGAACGGAATAGTCTTCAATAAAAAATGGATGGGATCCTTCATTGGTTCCTGACTCTCAGCCACTAATCTGAAGGAACTTAAATAGAGTAGAATTTACCCTTTGCATGAGTAGGCAGTTCATATTGGCTACACTAGTCCGGTTAACATAAGCTAACGATGTAATCCGAGATGAAACCCTGTGACTTTGATGCATAATTGCATAATGTTCAGGACTCAGAAATTTTAACATGTACTTTTGCATATTCAGTCTAAGACAGTATAGGCCACTGATGGGGACATCACCAAAAGGATAAAAAAAAAACAATGCAGTATACTGTTCGCAATCACATGGCTAAGTAGATGCAAATGCATCTCAGAAGATCAACATGAACATAACAGTGTGTCCACAACTAAGTTGTACAACCAACCAACCATGCCTGCAAACTTCATTCATTTTGAGATAATGTTGGTTTCACCTCAATTCAACACAAATCCAACCCAAATCCTCCAACCAATGCCACGATTTCCGAACCCAGAGCCTCACACTACCCAATTCTGCACGCATAACACACACCGCATGGTGTCACTCCCCGCAATTCTACCATAAACAACGCCGGAACAGCGATCCCGCGCGAGAGAGGAGAGAGTAAGAGAGGGGCTACGGCCGCGGCGGCGGCATTCACCCCGTACGTACCGCGTCCTCGGCGTCGCAGTGGTGCCTGTAGACGGAGAAGAGGAAGCGGCACCGCCTCTCGAGCTCCCCCACGTCGCCGGACCGCTCCGTGGCGAGGCGCACGGCCGCGGCGTGCAGCCTCTCCAGCTCCGCGCGGATCGCCTTGTGGAAGTAGACGAATATCAGCATCGGCGCCTCGGCCGCCGACCCCGCGGCGGCGGCCGGTGGAGAAGGCGAGCGCGGCATCACCGCGGCGGCGATCGAGCCCTCGTCGGCCAACGGGGTCGCCATCCTCCTCCTCGTCGTCGGCGGCGGCGGAGGCGGCTGCTCCGCGTGCGCGTCTGACTCGCTCGCTCGGATAAAATAATGCGCCACTTTTCGCCTCCGCTTGTCTGTGTGCGCTCCTCTCTCTGCCTCTGTGGGCTGCTTGTATTTGTAGCCAATGAGATGAGAGGTGGAACAGCGAGTGGACACCGTGGCCTTGTGGGCCCCCACTCTCTTAATTCTTTTCTTGATGCCACGAAAGATTTAGGTGGTGCTTGGTAACGAGAGGGATTAAACTTTAGCCCCTCTCATTATCTTAGAGTGAATTTGTGTTTTTGTTGTTTTTGTCCTCAAGTTTTAGATTGGATCATCCTTTATCTATTTTTCTCCAATCTTTTTTATTTTGGATTAGGTTTTTTTTTCCATTTTTGTGTTTTGACCACCCAAAGTATCTTCACAAGCACAGCATTAGCATCAAGCACATTGGCACCATCATACCGATGATATCCTCTGTTGACGTGCAGTTAACATCTTTGTTAGAGAAGAGATTGGATGTGGCTAGATAAAAACGTTAGGGTAGTTCAAAGGGTAACAAAGATAAAATAAATTTATATAGTCCAAAACGAAGATATTAGATAAATATGGTCCAAACTAAAACTTACTCCAGTAGGTATGAAAAGATGGCACAAATTATAATTCGCTTGTAGATTTATCATATCTAGTATTAGATTGGTTTATTTTATGGCAAAAGAGTATATTTATACACATCACCATGTATATCAGTCACACACCAATGACTTTCGCTTCCGGCCCAACTTGAAAATTAAGCATATATTGTTTGTAGGCAAATTTTACTACATAACACTTAAAATTTGTGCAATTTACTGGTAAATATCATAAAAACGTGTCACGGCTGAAAGACACTTTAAAAAAAGTAATTTGCTGGGGACACTTTTAGCTCAATTGGAGAGAGGAATTCTTCAAAAAGACAAGAATGCCCCTAAGGTCAAAAGCTTCGAGCTGAGACTGGAGCTAAGATTGAATATAATGTATGCTAGTGATGTACTTAGGGTGATGGCAAATTTAGAGTTTCGTGGTTTCTAAATTTTTACTCTAACATCATGTTTAAAGCATGTGGTCTTTAGGGACATTCTTATCATCATTAAGAATTTATCAATACAATTGAGCCGAAAGTGTACTCTAACAAATTATCAGTTTTTTAAAGTCTTTTAGCCATGACACCTTTTTCGATGTCTATGAGCAAATTATGCAATTTTTTAATGTCCAGTAGCAAAATTTGTCTTGTTTGTAAATCGTAATTTTGGAATGGAACAAAATACACTTGTAACTAGCCCTAAATTCGTGTACAATGTGCAACTAAAAGTTTGACAGCTCAAACTTAAAACTGAACGAGAATAACTTCCAGTCACGTTTTGAACTTTTGAATTGAAGCAACTTTCAATTGAAATCCACCTGGGTTAACATATATAACTGTGAGATTACGCCTGGGCTCCGTACGAATTCATGCATGCACATAGAAAACAAATCGTGTGGCGCGTGGCACCGATCGAGCAAATCGGTCCGGTAATTAAAACCATTGTTAATCAGACGAGACAAATTATAATCTAATATATACTAAAATCTAGTAGTAGTAGTATAATCTGATCTTGCAGGTCTCTGTCACCTCCAACGACGCGTACGTACGTACCATGCAGTCAATGACATTTCAGGGCTTGATCAGATTCAGAGAGATAAACATAAAACAAGTCCCAGAATGGAAGAAGCATCAGATCGCAACAAACTGGTTTCTGGTTGCCTGACCCTTCCATGCCCCGAAAGGATGCTGTCGAGGTATCCATCTGCTTTCCGCTATACTACTAATTTAATTATGTATCGCCCAGATTGTGGGATGGAATGATTGAGTATTCAGGCGGCGTGAGGCGTGCGCGCTCTCCACCCATGCCTGGATATGTTAATCTGCATTCTGTAGTCTGCTTACCCTTGCGTCGCAATCACATTATCTGAAGACTGAAGTTGAACATATACTGTATATAGCATGGAGTATTCTGTTTATGCAAGTTACACATATATACATACTGTTTTTCAGATAGATGTATGTATGACCATATTAATATCCGAACAACATCGATCCGCATTACTCCCTCCATATTTATAAAGGAAGTCGTTTAGAATAATGTTTAAGCCAAACCTTGAAAATATAAATCATGAATAACTCTCAAGTTATTAAGTTTGAAAATATAAAAATTATATGTATAGATTTGTCTTGAAAAATACTTTCATAAAAGTATACATATATCACTTTTCAATAAATATTTTTATAGAAATAAGAAGTCAAAGTTGTATTTTGTAGACCATATCGCTGTCTTAAACGATTTCCTTTATGAGTATGGAGGGAGTATGTAGGTGCAATTTGGAGAGATGAACATATCAACAATCATCATGCAAGCTGATAAAAACGAGACTCACTTTGTGAATACTCAGCTAGTTAGTTTTTTTAAAAAAAATAAACATGTTCATTAGGATTTAAGTCCTAGACGTAGCGTTATTCTTTTAGTGATTGGCGTCATACACATCGACAGCGAAATATTTATTATGACTTCATTAATTGATTGGCGTCGTACACATCGACGGACGGTGAGATATTTATTATGACTTCATTAATCTCAAAATATATTGGTGACGTAGACACGTGTGTTCATCAAGTGAGTGTATATGCGTTTGTATTTTTTTTAGAAAAAAAGAAATGTGACTGACTTTCAGTTGGAACTTGGGATCCAGTCACCAGATAACTTTAAACAAACACAAAAAGAGGCAGATTAATTAATAATCTTCGTTAGGTATTGGGGTGGACGCATGTGCATGCTGTATTCATGCACGAATGCAAGCATGTGCCTCAGCTGCCTTGACCAGAAAAACGAAGATAAGCTTAAGATAACCAGCCCTTTTTCTCCATGTTCTTTTAAAATACTCCCTCCGTATTTTAATGTATGACACCGTTGACTTTTTAACAAACGTTTAACATTTCGTCTTATTTAAAAAATTTATGTAATTATTATTTATTTTATTGTGACTTGATTTATTATCAAATGTTATTTAAGCATGACATAACTATTTTTGTATTTGCATAAAAAATTTGAATAAGATGAATAGTCAAACGTTGGTTAAAAAGTCAACGACGTCATACATTAAAATACGGGGAGTAGCTAGCTAACTCTTCATATGCAAGACTGTGTATGTGCTATCGTGGCAGAAGCTAGTAGGATCGATCGCGAATGCACAAATATAAGTGATTTTTGGTGAAAGGAAAGGACAGGGACATATACGTGGATATGATTTGAGTGGAACAATCACCTCATCACACTGGATATTCGGATGGTAGTGGGAGGCAGAGGTTCATGCTGTCCAAGTGGTGAGTCACTAGCTACATAGACAGATACAGATCATACAGGTGGCTGCATGTACGCAAGCTAGAATGAAGTGCATGCGTCGTTGGATCGAGCTGAGTCGATCGATCGATCAAACTCAACCAGCCCATATGCACACAGATGCACTATGTATTGCCATGGTTGCAGCGATTGCGATGCTAATTAGTTCGGCCGAGTCGTCATTTGTTTCAGTACTTTTCAGGGGAAAAAAAGGAAGAGTCCTTGTCATGATAGAATTGCAGCAGCCTTAATTTATTTTGCCGGCATTTTGAACAACCTGATGAGTGATGACCTGTCTTGAGATCGATCCAAGTCGAAGCTTGCCTGAATCATGCATGCAGTCGCGGACACGTTTGCACGTACGCTAGCTCCAAGTGAGCACTCCCCCCAAATCGTTGATCTCCGCTCGAGTGATTGACCGAGAGAGCTGCATGATTAGCTGTTTCGGTTCAGAGATTCCAATAATTAGCGATTAGCTTCTTCTGTTCGGATGAGCCTGGAAAGAAAACTAATCTATGGAACAACGCGACGAGACCGGCTTATCGCCGATTGCCATCGCACTCGCAGCGCGCGCGCGCGTGGCGTGCGGCCGTGCGGTGCGGGTGTGGCTTGCCGCGCGCGAGGGAACGCGGACGCCGTGCGGGCACGAGGCGCTCACGTGCTCGCCTGCTGCGGTGCTGCCTGCTCCCGAGCCAGCGAAGCCGTACGTGCACTCACCAAGTATCACGCGTAGGCGTAGGTTTTGCGCCACGAACTTGCCGCAATAACGCGAACGCACGCTGTCAGGCGCGCCACCAGGGGATAAAGCAAAAAAAAAAAAAAAACCGGTCAAAGGAGAGTCGGGGTTTTAAACTCCGAGCCCCTCCTATCTCGTTAAAAAAATAACTCGGCCCTTTTGAGGTTGTATATGAAGGATATGTTTAGTTCTCAAACAAAAAAATTTTCATCTTTTCACGTCAAATATTTGGAAACATATATGGAGTATTAAATATAGAAAAAAGCTAATTACATATATTATGTGTAAATTGCGAGACGGATCTTTTAAACATAATTGCGCCATGATTTGACAATATTGTGCTACAGTAAACACTTGCTAATGAAGTCCGGCTCTGGGGGTTCGAAATTTTAATCACCGAACCCCCTTGATGTCATATGGCGTCGTCACTCGCTTGCTCTCGCTTCCTCCCCGCTGCGTGGCTGTATATATTGCTAGAAGCCTAGAATGAAGTGTATGCGTCGTTGGGTCGAGCTGAGCCTATCAATCGATCATTCAAGGGCTAGAATGAAGATTTTGGCCCCGTTTGGTAGGGATCTAAACTCCAACTCCCAACTCTAAACTCTAACTCCAGTGAGAGCTGACTCCTATAGAAGCTGAGGTGGGGACAGAAAGTGCTTGGCTAGACTATTCAGCTCCACGCCACCATATTCCTCGTCAGCATTTCATCGAACACCTTGTTGGCGTCAACCTATCGTGGTCGCCGCCCGCGAGCCGCCGCCGCCGGTCAGCCCACGCCCACCAGCTGTCGACGCCGCCGCCGCCGCCGGGCAGCCCGCGAGCTGCCGCCGCCGGTTAGCCCGTGAGCTACCACCGCAGCCTGTCGACACCGCCGCCCGCGCGCCACTGCCACCGCCATCGCCCGTGCTGCCCTCGCCACCGCGTGCCCCCGCTGCTGCGGACGCGGCCTGTCGCCACTGCGTGCCGCCGTCAGCCGCCACCGCCGACGTGACTCAGCCGCCGCTCGCTGCCAACGACGCAAATGAAACCTTCCATGGCCGGCCTCGGGAGGAGGATGGGGGAGGAGAGAGAACGGGAGGAAAGAAGATAGGAAGGGTAGCTCAATGGCATTTTTGTGTAAATAGACTAAAAAATTAAAGGGTAGTGGGTCTTTAAGGTGGAGTGGAGCTGTGGAGCAGAAAAACCCAGCTATACCCCTGTAGTACAAATTTGTGAAGTAGCTCTACTGTTGACGTTTGATGTCGTAATTCTGGTATTTGCATGGTATGGGGATTATTGGTGCTAGGATATACGCGAGACTGAGGTAAAAGACATGGATACAGAGATTTTTATACAGGTTTGGGCCCCTGAGTTGTCAGGTAATAACCCTACATCCTGTTGGGCGAAGCCGGTATTGCTCTTATTCATGATAATCACACCAGTACAATATTTGGGGTAGCCCATCTAACTGTTGTCGACATGGCGGTCTGACGATATGACTCGTAGTCGACAACAGGGTAGCCTTACTCCTTGAATCCGTGCCCGGCGAGATCAGAGATAGCACTTTCGTCTCTCCTGACAGTATCCGGAGACACCGTAGGGTACTAGCCGTGCTTATCCCTGAAGTCGATATCCGGCGGCGTGTCCTGGTGGATATAGGCTTTTATGTTATGGCTTCTATGTCGATTGTGTTGGGTGTTGATCCCTTCATGGTGGGTGTTGATCGTCTCATGGTCATGGGTGTCCCCCTGTCCTCCTAGGGGGGCTTGTATTTATGTCCATAGGTGTCCCCTTGTCCAAGTAGAACTAGGGAAACCAATATGGATACAATCCGAGTAGTCCTTGTCGTTTCCATGTAGAACTCTGGTTGTCTTTCCTTATCCGGAACTCCTCCTATATCCGAAGGTTGCTTCCGTATAGAACATGGTATGTGGTGGATCCTGCCGAGATTTAGTCAACTACTGTTAGGTATGTGGTATCTATAACCCTGACATCTACTAACTCCGCTCCGAAAAATGAATAATATGTACCGTTTGGCACAGCTCTAACTCTAGCTAAATTGAAGGCTGGGGAGGCGCCCCTCGCTTGCTGCATGCGTTGCTCGGGCCAGCCACGAGCCGCGGCCCGCACCACTCTCGCTCACCAAGGCAGCAAGGCCTCACGCAGCCGCTGGGCCCCGGGCCCGGCTAGACTGGCCAGCGCGCGACGCGAGATGGGCCTAGTTCAGATCGTGCCTCTGCTCATGTTTTGAGCTTTGGCAGTTGACACTAACAAGCTTGCAAGCTCCACCGGTCCACCCTCCACTCAGAAGTCAGAAGTCTGAGCTTATTCCATACTTTCTCAATGTTGTATCAGGGCAAATTACAGGATAAAAAGAATCATCAGTAACTGGTTACTCAATACTCATGCCAAACGCTATCACAACTTCAGAAGTTTCTATGTACATTTCGTCATTTCCGCTGTTTCAAAGATATATAAAATAACATAATTTACATCAAACCGGCAGGAAAAAAAATCAGTACGCTGTCCGGTACAAAACAAGCGAATCTCGATCGACAGAGAGGTTACTGGCTAGTGTTCGGCGTCGTGCTCATGCTGTCCCATGGCGCGTGCACGGTGTTGGGCGAGCACGGCGAGCCCCTCTTGCCGCCTTTCTCCGCCGCCCTGCACTCGTCCTGGATTCCCCGGAGGACGTCGGCCACCTCCTTGATCGGCGGCCGCATCTCGCCGTTGTGCTGCAGGCACCGGAACGCGAGCTCGGCGACCATGGTCATCGTCTTCCTCGTCGCCTCGTCGGAGCTGTACCCGAGCTCGTCGTCCACCAGCTGGTCCACCTGGCACCTCTGGATCTTGTTGACCGCCATGCCGGCCAGGTTGATCTCGTCGCGGTCCCGCGTCACGTCCACCGCCGGCTTCGACGAGATGAGCTCCACGAGCACCACGCCGAAGCTGTACACATCGCTCTTGTCCGTGAGCTGGTAGCACTGGTGGTACTCCGGATCCACATACCTGCCGCGTCAAACACAAGATCGCATCACCATCAAGAACATGGCACCATGTCACCGGCAAGAGATTTGCTCCGGTCCAATAAAAGATACATCAAGGTACCAAATCATTTTCGATCGTTGGTACCATGAGGTACTGGTACCTCGAGATATTTTTTATTGGAACGGAGCAAATCTCCACCGGTAATGGCGAGACAGCAATGGAGCAGAGGCAGAGCGTCAGTCATGGCGTACCCTGGCGTGCCCTGCGGCGCGGTGGAGACGTGCGTGGCGTCACGCGGGAAGAGGCGGGAGAGGCCGAAGTCGGCGACCTTCACGTGGAAGTTGGCGTCGAGGAGGATGTTGTTGGTCTTGACGTCGCGGTGCACGATGGGCGCCGGCTCGACGGCGTGGAGGTACGCCAGCGCGGCGGCGGCCTCGACGGCGACGTTGAGGCGGAGCGGCCATGTCAGGGCGCGCTCCGGCGCGCGGTGGCCGTGCAGGTGGTCCGCGACGGTGCCGTTGGGCACGAACTCGTACACCAGCAGCAGCTCCCGGCTGCGGCTGGACGTGCACCCGTAGAACAGCACGAGGTTCGGGTGGCGCAGCCGCGACAGTATCGCCGCCTCGTTCACGAACTGCTCCACTCGCCGGCAGCTGTTGTTGTACAGCCTCTTCACGGCCACCACGCGTCCATCTCGGAGCTCACCTGAACACATTTCCAGATCAACCAAAAACCCAACGAAATCAACTACATCCTCCGTTCCAGGTTATAAGTCGTTTTAACTACTCTAAATTTAACTATATTTTATAGATAAATATAATAATATTTACAACACCAAATTTGTTCAGTTAATAAATCTATAATTGAATATATTTTTATAATATATTTATGTTAGGTTAAAAAATTATTATTTTTTTATACAAACTTAGGTTGTGTTTAGTTCCACGCCAAAATTGAAAGTTTGAATAAATTGTAACGATGTGATGGAAAAGTTGAAAATTTGTGTGTGTAGGAAAGTTCGATGTGATGGAAAAGTTGAAAGTTTGAGAAAAAAGTTAGAATCTAAACTGGGCCTTACTCAAGACAACTTGTAACCTAAAACGGAGGGAACTGAAAATACCTTTGTAGACGGTGCCGAAGCCGCCGTCGCCGAGCTCGCGGGCGTCGCTGAAGCCGTCGGTGGCCTCCTCGAGCTCCTCGTAGGCGAAGTGGTGGGTCTGCAGGTAGTGGAAGCTGCCGGACTCCACGAACTTGTCGCTGCTGCCTTTCGACCGCGGCGTCCTGCCGGAGGTGGTGTACTTGAGCAGCCTCGACGACGAGGTCATCTTGTACTGTCTCCTCTTGCGAATGTACAAGAAGGACACAACGAGGAGAAGCAGGAACAGAACACCGGAGGCGATGGAGGTTGCTGAAAGTAGCAAATGGGGATGAAAGTTGTTCAGAAAAGAACATTTTTCACAGAAAAAAAAATAGATGCACTACTCCGTATATGTTAGTGGCAATCCTACTTATTAGAGTTTGTTGCTTACAATTTTGTACTCGCAATATGTCCAATTAGTTGACTAATTACACTCATAATAACGGGTTCCTGTCAGTAATATTTTCTGTTGCTTAGATTCAGATTTCCGGAAAAAAAAATATAGGAGGCAGAGTTTTCATATATTTACCTATTGCAATAGCCTTTTTCTTCGACTTCTTTGATCCTGCAAAATCATGAAACAATTGTATCAACGCAACAATCAGCAAGCGACAACATTAGCTAACTTTTTGACTAAATTTTTTTTTTACAAGTCATAAAAAAATAGAAGGCATGCATGCTCCTTTAGAAAAAAAAGTCACAGTATCACACTAAAAGTGCATCATGATACCGGTCTTATTTTTCATCTTCTTCCTTCTTCTAAGGAGATATTTAACCATTTGCCACATTTAGATGTGGCAATTAACTTTTGGCCACTGGACCCACATGTCATAGACATATGTGGACCCACATGTTATTGAGATAGGGGTGGCAAATAATTATTTGCCAAATCTAAAAGTGGCAAATAGTTAAAAGCCCCTCTTCTAAGACATCTGCATCTTATGGGATGAGAAAACAAGGAATACATGAAAATGGTCAACTTGGTTTGCCATACAACACGAACTTAATTATTTAAACGTTTTGGTAAAAAAGAAACTAATTCAGTTCATACTACCAAATCCCCTAGTTGCCAATTTTGATAATGCTTATAGAGTTATAGGTAACAGTCGACATCAAGAAGAGAAAAATCTATAAATTTAAGTGAAGAGACTAATTCAGGGTAACTTTGAATTTTGTAGACTTGCAGAACGTAAGCAAATACTTGTCATTTGGGCCATTTCAAATGCACACAAATCAAAGGTTGATCAAGGCTCCGTCAAAACTAGAACATCACCAAAAAAAATGGCACATTAATCAAAGAAAGCAAAGAGAATCGCCACTCACTATCCTATCTTGTCTAAGATGAGGTCACCAGATTAAACTATAGGACACCAAACATAGCAGAAACAGAGCATCTTGAGTCAAACATAGTTGTCCCAATCGAAACAAATGAACTAAAAAAACAACCTTAACACCAACCTTGACTTGCCCTCAAGTTTGGTTAGAAGATACATAGGGGTACCTGATGAAGAACATGATCCAATAGCTTGACCATAAGGGCAGTAACATGTATACTGATCAGGAAAACTGCCATTAAACCCACAATGCCCTCCAGAAGCCTTACAATCACTACACCAACCTAGCCCAACTTTCCATCTCGCCGTGAAACCTCCTCTAATCACATCCGCAAGGCTAGAATTTCCAGCAGCCAATGAGCCTGCCATGGTTGAGTTGCATGGAACAACGATAGTTGAGCTGCATGATCCCAGAATATCTGATTCCAACGAGTCATCCTTGTTCTTGTGCAACCTATAGTAGGAGCTTCCCCCAGAAACGCACGACACAAGATCATAGATAAGAGGCAGAGAGGAAAAGTTGGCACTGCAGTTGACATAGACCGTCAGGAACTGATCACGGTCTGTGTACATGAACTTGCTCTCGTCGATGGTGGTGTTGTGATAGCGATCCAGGCATGCCTCCTGAGGTTGAGTTTGATCGATGACCGCAAGAAACTTGTTGCCATAGTCGATATCTGTAACCTGGAACGCGGTGGAATTCATGTGGATCATGAGCTTGTTGTCTGGGCTGCAGATGAGGCGATATCCTGGGTAAGAGCAGTAGTCTGGACGGTGGACGCCATTCGCTGAGAAGGGGTAATCGACATCGAACTTGAGTGATCCACACTGGTAAGAAGCTGGGGTACAATTTGTGTACCGGAAGTAGGCACCGGATTCTTGCATAGAAGGTGGCACCGATGAGAGTAGGATGATGATGAGTAATGGCAACGAACATAGGGGATGCATCTTCTCAAAGGTGTGGTGAACTGGTGATGAAGAGCAACAAGAAAAGGGGAGAGGAAGAGGATACTAGCTAGCTGCCTGCCTGGGTAGATGTATGGACGAGAAATGCAATACCAGATGAGTGTACTAGTACTACTTAAGACGGCGATTAAGTCACTGCACGGCTCATTGATTGTTTTCATATAGGTCAAGAGAGGACGGCCGAGAAGAATTCATGAGACAGATCATGGCGTCAGGTTTCAGGAATTTATGGGTTATGGTTTTTCTTTTCTCCTTCCGTGGCGGCTCAGCCCGAAGGAAATTTCGGGCAAACACTTGGTACAAGTCAAAGATTTGAGGCGTCTTGGTACCTGTTCTTTATGTGAACTGGCACGTCGCACTCTCGTCTGGCTCACGTCAAATAAGATTGCGATGGTTTGCGATGGTCAAAAGTCAGAACCTTCGTCTTGTTCCAGGAGAAGTTACCCACCAACTGTGACTACTGATCACCAGTGATCTTCAACTCGGAGGCATGGTGGTGCACTTGCGCTCACAGTAGGGGTGGATAAAAAGCTCAAAACTCGTGGCTCGGATTGATTCGAACTCGTAGTCTTAATGAGTCAAGTCGAGCTAGCCTTTTAGCTCGTGAGCTTAACAAGCTAACTCGTGAACTGCTCGTTTAGCTCGTTAGTATAAAATATCATCATATCTTCATGAACTAGTGTTTAGTCTTTTAATTACATCAAAACTATTCATATTTAGAGAGTATTATATTAGTTAGTGTTTATTATTATGTTAATACATAATAAAATGTTAAATTTAAAATTATTAATATGGTATTAATGAGATATATCTCGTTAACGAGCCTAACGAGCTAGCTCGTGAACCGAGCCGAACTAGCTTTTTAGCTCATTAACATTAACGAGCCGAGTTAAGACAACGATCTCAAACGAACCGAGCACGAGCCAGCTCCACCCCTACCTCACAGGGATTTCACAGTTCCTAGTACCAAATAACCTCTGCCAAATAAACGAGAATTCTGGGGTGAAAATAGGAGTTTCTAGATACTTTGCTGCCGTCATACCGGTTGGCACAAGCAGTGCCGTCACCAACATGGCAGAACGCATCAACAAAACCAGGTTTCATTTTCTATCAAGAAAGATGTGCGGGGATGCCTACCACACCTATACGAACAGCAATTGGCTTTTGGGATGCCACAATGCATTCATGCAACACTGTCAAAGTTACCCGCAAAAAAATGTTTTGTTTCGACAACAAGCAATTAAAAGTTGGAGAGAGATCACGCTTATAACTCCTAGCATTTATAATTTACATTCTTTTCGCAACCAATTACTAACCCTCATCATTCATCATTCACTTTTTCTAACTAGCTTTACTTCTTAACCAATCATAACTTCTTCCTATTTAATTCTATCTACTTTTTAAATAACTTGTCAAACTTTCGTAATATATCATAGACACACTTCATTCAATTCAAAATAAATCAATCTAGTACGAGATATGACATATTATATTGTTACGAATTTGATAAACAAATACTTATCTAAATTCTTAGAATTACGATATGTGATGTTATGTATTACGTTAGTTTATTTCGGAATGAAAGTAATACTAGGTAATACTAGTAATTAAATATGTTGATGTATGCAAGAGGGTACTAACTCACCGCAGTCTGTTTTGCTGACGTGGCCATCGGAGCACAGGCATCCCAGGAACTCGTTCTTCGTGCCGTAGCTGCAGCGTCCCCCGGATACCTCGCACTCGTGGCACATCCCCGCCGTCGGGTCCCAGCTCAGCTGGAACCCGCGCTTCAGCACGGCGCCGTATCCATCGTCGCCCAATTTGCCGTAGTACTTCTCGTTCATGAGCCAATCCTTGAGCACGGGCACCATCACCACCTCCTTGCACAGCCCCAACCACTCCGTCTCGCCTGCCACGTCCGGCTGCGTGGCGACGAAAGACGGCGCCGTGTCTCGCCGCCCCGGGAAGTCGAAGGTGCTGCAGTTGATCGGGCGGATGTACGGCGGCGGCCGCAGCACGACGTTGGCCGTGGAGTTGCAGTCGAAGAAGAAGGTGATGCTGTCGTTGCCGGGGCTCGGGAACGTGAGCACCTCCGGGAGGGTGACGTTGTGCTTCACCCTCGGGCAGTCGCCGCCGTCGAGCGCGTCGGAGTCGGCCACCGTGACGGTGTGGTTGCCGTGGTTGATCTCCAGGACGGTGTAGTTGTAATTCCCGAGTCGCAGGATGGCGCGGTCGTGGTCGCAGATGATGCCCAGCCACGGGTAGCCGCAGTAGCGGGTGTTCCCGTCGACGACGACGACCTGATCCGTGGTGTTGGAGAGGTAGAAAGGGTACTTGATCTCCACCTGCTCGCCGCAAAAGATCGGCCTCGCGCATATGGCGTCGTCGTACGTTCCGCCGCCGGCAGTGGCCGCGCCACCGCTAACGACGACGACGACGACGGAGAGTACGAGGAGGTGGAAGAGTAGTGGCGGCATGGCGACGACTGCGCACGGTGCGAGCTTACACCGGCTGCTTAAATTTTTTTGTGACATCGTGTTGGCGAACTACTAGCTTGGTCCTATACTAAAACGGACTTCTTGAGCTGCACGACAGCACGAGCACGAGTTTGACCTGAGGGGGTTGGTGTGCGTAGGTATTGGGGGTACGTGGCGTGTTGGGATTGGTTGGGGTAGGGGCAGTTGGGGTTCGCTGCCTGCTTCCTCGATCCGGTTGCTGGTGGCACGCCACCGGAACGACGACCTCGTGGGAGTCGTGCGTCTGCGTCCGGTCGGGTGGGGACTCGGCCAGGCTGCATGGACGCATGCTGCTGCTACTGTCGTTTTCTTTCTTTCTTTCTTTCTTTCTTTTTTTGAACGGAAGCAGTGCTACTGTCGTTTTCGTGGCAAATAAACATGCTGCTTCTCGTTTCAGATTCTTTCTCATTGTCTTTTTTGTGATTTTCGATTGCTCCTAACGCGATGGAAAGGAAGCATCCGCACATCCGGTCCGCGTCAAATGTGAAATATAATGCTCTTTACAAACAAACAACCCAGGTATAAGAAAGTGATGAGCACTTAATTAAGCAGTCGTCTTTTGAATGGCAGATGCTCTTTATTTGGTCTGCTCCCATGAACTTATTAGCTGCCGTACCAACTGCTTCCAGAACGGATTGATCCTGCAATTTCATACTACTCCACTATGACATAATACCTCCGTCCCATAAAAACTCAACATATCCCAAAAGAGACATATCCATATCGGAAAGTGTTTTCTACACCTTCGTTTTCTACGGATGAAGCTGCTGATTTTTTAACACACATTTAATCATTTATCTTATTTAAAAAATTACGTAATTATCATTTATTATGTTGTAAGTTGTTTTATTATTAAAAAATACTTTAAGCATTTATTATCATTTAAATTTTATCCCATAAAAAATCAACTTCTAACATCCTAACTACTCTCAGTATATAAAATGAAAAGTTTTATTTCTTCAATACCCTTTATCTACCTGTCACAATTACTATTTTTTTAAATAATAAAGAGTATTTTGGTCATTTCACTCTCTACTAATTTTGTATTGGGATGCTAGGGTTTGATTTTATATGGGACGGAGAGAGTAGATGTTTTGTTCGCTACCTTCTTTCTGAATTTTCTTAGCCTATGATCATAAATACCAGTCCAAGAGGAACAGATGTCCTAGGATTGCAGACTTGCAGTAGGTCAATCCAGGTCCAGTCTACCGCAGGTTTCCCAAACCGCCGGCCGGGCCGAGGTTACCGCGCCCCGGCCGTAAGCACGGTTACCGCACGGTAACCGTAAAAAACCGTATGAAACCGCGTAAAATTTATCAAAAATTCAAATTATTTTTAAATTTATTTGAATTTAAGGAGGTTACCGTGGTAACCGTGCGGTTACCGGCGGAAGTCGAACCATGGTCTACCGTACGCGCAATGTGAACAAGAGAAACTAAACGATAAAACGAATTAAGAATCTTCTTCTTTTCCATGTCCGGTGAACTCTGAGATATTCTTATAGGTAGGATGACAGAAAAAGCCCAAAAAATACGTTTTGTGCCAAACATAAGCCCCCTCACAAATCACAACACGGGCCAGAAGAAGAAAAGATTGTCTCTTGACTTGTGAAGCAGACCAGGAGAAAAAACATGTTTCTAGTCCATTCTTTTTTTATTAGTGCTAGCTACTTCTTTGATTCTTGTCTGCTTCTGCATCGCGACATCAATTCCTGCTGACCATACAATGAACAGTATACTGTATATGTGAACATTGCATCCGTCGTAGATTCGTAGCGGATTTGCTATAATCGTGGCGACAGATTTTCTGTCCAATCGCAGTCGATTTTTTGCCTTAGGATGGCATGTAGATTCGTGCTCATGTGTTGTATCCGCGCACGTTTTACGGCTCTTCCACAGCTTTTGCCTCGTCAATTGACTCCGTGTGTGTTGTTTGATGAGGGACATGCTGATTTAACCGATGGATGAGATACGTGTAGTAAGTTACACCATAATTACATCATATTTACACTACAATTACATATGTAATTTTAAAACTTACATATGTAATTTTGAAACTTACATGTGTAATTTTGGTATATACATTGTAAGTACAATAAAATTACATATGTAATTTTAAAACTTATAATGTAAATACATACTGACTATTTTTGATGAAAAATATGGCGCCATATGTACAGTCAGACATGGTAGCATATACTCCGGTCGGTAATACATCTGTATTCTTAGAAACGACCGGGCCGTTTCCCTTGACGGCCTGCTAGCTATTATAGGCCAGCTGGCCAGGCTCGTATGTTTTGGGCCAGGCCGAAACGTATGTATCTTAGGAAGCAGCCTTATTTGTTCCAGGCCTAAATTCAACGCAGGCGCTTGGGCTGTGAAGGATATTGGGCTTTTTAGCATAACATATGGTTTCAAAATTCAAGCACAAGTTTTCTGACTTCCGGATTCAAGAATCGCAAGTTTCAACGTTTCGAGATGCTAAATTTGTAAAGTTAGTAGTACTAGCGAAAAACAGTTCGTAAAACCAGTTCCGAGCTATACAAAGCTGAGCAAGTGTTCGCAAATGGACAGCCGAAGAGCAACTTTACCTTATCCCACGCCCTCCTCGACTGCGTGTTTGTTCGACAGGTCTGGCTATGTGTGTTGTCGTCTCCTAGCTGGGTTGCCCTCTCTCTCCCGTGGCAGACCTGAGCATCTTCTAGGACATGCTTACCTGAGTATCTCCGTCTCTCCAGTCTCCAAGCCGGCTTCGACTTTCTAGTCCTCATGGTCTCTTGACAACTGTGGAATTAACGGAACCATATGGTTTTCGACTCTACGCTTTCTTCGGTCTTACTGTCCTAGTAGTTTTATAGTTCATCATCTTGGAGGGCCGTCTGTGGTCATTAGTTGGCGTTGCTTCGTTTGCGATTTGTTGGGAGTGTATGTAGTGTGGCTTTGTCCACTCCCGCTGATTGGAGTTGTGTTTGTCTTTCCATTTTTTCTTCCTTAGTTTTTTTTTCTTTGTTTTATCCCTTTTTCTGGTATAAGCCGGTCTGGTTGAATACGTTGTGTAAAAAAAACTTTTCTTTTTTAATATATTAACGTGTAATCTTTATGCGCGTTCGCGAAAAAAAAATTTACCTTATCAACTCGCGCATGTTGTCTTGTTTGTTACTGTTTCAAGATAATTCTGAAGCAAAAAATTTCGCGGGGAGACGATAGTACACACCTTTGACTTGAACATTCGGTTGAACTTTCTGCGTCATTAGTAAGCATTAAAGCACCGAGGCACTAAGCACGGCAAAGTATGACAATTATCGACGCGTTTCGAGCAAACAATGAGAAGATACGGGCTTGCTCTGCTCGGTAGCCATGCTTCCCACCTTCTCCTCCTCTTCTGGTTCATCGCTTCCGGCGGTGAGGGCGCGACAGCGGCCGGCGGAACGTACGACGACGCCATATGCGCGAGGCCGATCTTTTGCGGCGAGCAGGTGGAGATCAAGTACCCTTTCTACCTCTCCAACACGACGGATCAGGTCGTCGTCGTCGACGGGAACACCCGCTACTGCGGCTACCCGTGGCTGGGCATCATCTGCGACCACGACCGCGCCATCCTGCGACTCGGGAATTACAACTACACCGTCCTGGAGATCAACCACGGCAACCACACCGTCACGGTGGCCGACTCCGACGCGCTCGACGGCGGCGACTGCCCGAGGGTGAAGCACAACGTCACCCTCCCGGAGGTGCTCACGTTCCCGAGCCCCGGCAACGACAGCATCACCTTCTTCTTCGACTGCAACTCCACGGCCAACGTCGTGCTGCGGCCGCCGCCGTACATCCGCCCGATCAACTGCAGCACCTTCGACTTCCCGGGGCGGCGAGACACGGCGCCGTCTTTCGTCGCCACGCAGCCGGACGTGGCAGGCGAGACGGAGTGGTTGGGGCTGTGCAAGGAGGTGGTGATGGTGCCCGTGCTCAAGGATTGGCTCATGAACGAGAAGTACTACGGCAAATTGGGCGACGATGGATACGGCGCCGTGCTGAAGCGCGGGTTCCAGCTGAGCTGGGACCCGACGGCGGGGATGTGCCACGAGTGCGAGGTATCCGGGGGACGCTGCAGCTACGGCACGAAGAACGAGTTCCTGGGATGCCTGTGCTCCGATGGCCGCGCCAGCAGCTCGACCTGCGGTAACTCGTCTTCCCCACGAAATTAATACACAAATTTTATTTTTAAACTGATATTAATTAATTTTGGAAACACAAGAAATTAATTAAAATACAGAATAAGAAAAACACACTGAGGGCACCCACAATGGTTATCTATAAGCTATCTACAAGAGATCCATGTCAGCATATTTTTCTACTTGGAAGATATTAAATGAAGAGAGAGAGCAAAGCTATCTACTAGCTTAGAGATAGTCTATAGAGAAAAACGAAGCAATGCATGAGAGAGCTATAGATACCTATGTAGACATACTATTGAGGTGGTTTACTATTAATCTAGTCTATTGCTGAGATGTACATGTTTTATAGAGAGCACCCTACTTTACCATTGCGGGTGCTCTGACGAACTGTGGGCAGCAGTAGAAGTAGCGCGGCAACCAACGTTGACGTGCAGTCTTGTTGATACTGTTCAAAGTCGCTAATCTTGACGAGGTCAAAATTCAGTTAGTAGATAATACTACTATACTAACGCGGTCGAAATCGGTGACGCTCGTCCTGCTCTGTGCTCAAGCTACCTACCTAAGGCATTTCTTTGTGGCTAAGAATTTTTTTACGAAAAGTTTAAGTTTTACGCAGGTCCATGGTCAATGGTAGTTTAACTCAACCCATCAGGTCAATTTCCTCCCACGATTTTCTGTTCCCCACGTTTACTCAGCCAACCCTTCTTGACCTACTGTAGCTGTTCTTTGTCCCCTCTTATCTTTGTTCATCAAGCAGCTCCTCCTCCTCCTCTCCCCTTTCCTGTTGCTCTTCAGTTCATCATCACCACGCCTTGGAGCAGATGCATCCCCTGTGTGCGCTGCCACTCCTCATCACCCTACTGCTGATCTCTTCAGTGCCACTTTCTGTACAAGAATCCGATGCCTTCTTCCGGTACACAAATTGTACCACAGCTTCTTACCAGTGCGGATCACTCAAGCTCGACGTCGATTACCCCTTCTCGGCGAATGGCGTCGACCGTCCAAACTACTGCTCTTACCCTGGGTACCGTCTCATCTGCAACCCAGACAACAAGCTGATGATCCACATGAATTCCACCGTGTTCCAGGTTACAGATATCGACTATGGCAACAAGTTTCTTGCGGTCATCGATCAAACTCAACCTCAGGAGACATGCCCGGATCGCTATCACAACACCACCATCGACGAGAGCAGGTTCATGTACACAGACCTTGATCAGTTCCTGACGGTCTATGTCAACTGCAGTGCCAAGTCTTCATCTCTGCCTTTTATCTATGATCTTCTGTCATGCGTTTCTGGGGGAAGCTCCTACTATAGGCTGCACAAGAACAAGGATGACTCGTTGGAATCAGATATTCTGGGATCATGCAGCTCAAGTTTCGTTGTTCCATTCAATTCAACCATGGCAGGCTCATTGGCTGCCGGAAATTCTAGCCTTGTGGATGTGATTAGAGGGGGTTTCACGGCGAGATGGAAAGTTGGGGTAGGTTGGTGTAGTGATTGTAAGGCTTCTGGAGGGCATTGTGGGTTTAATGGCAGTTTTCCTGATCAGTATACATGTTACTGTCCTGATGGTCAGGCTATCGGATCATGTTCTTCATCAGGTACCGTTTGTATCTTCTAACAAACTTGAGGGCAAGTCAAGGTTGGTGATAAGGTTGTTTTTTTAGTTAATTTGTTTCGATTAGGACAACTATGTTTGACTCAAGATGTCTGTTTCTGCTATGTTTGGGTCCTATAGTTTAATCTGGTGACCTCATCTTAGACAAGTTTAGGATAGTGAGTGGCGATTTTCGTTTCTTTCTTTGATTAATGTGCCAATTTTTTGGTGATGTTCTAGTTTTGACGGGGCCTTGATCAACCTTTGATTTGCGTGCATTTGACATGGCTCAAATGACAAGTATTCGCTTACGTTCTGCAAGTCTACAAAATTCAGACTTACTTGAATTAATCTCTTCACTTAAATTTATAGAATTTTCTCTTGTTGATGCCGACTGTTAACCTATAAGCATTATCAAAATTGACAACTAGGGGATTAGGTAGTATGAACTGAATTAGTTATTTTTTGACCAAAACGTTTAAATAATTAAGCTCGTGTTGAATGGCAAACCAAGTAGACCATTTTCTTGTATTCCTTGTTTTCTCACCCCATAAGATGAAGATGTCTTAAAAGAAGGAAGAAGATGAAAAATAGGACCGGTATCATGATGCACTTTTAGTGTGATATTGTGTCTTTTTTTTCCTAAAGGAGCATGCATGCATTCTATTTTTTTATGACCTGCAAAAACATTTTTTTTGTCAAATAATTAGCTAATGTTGTCGCTTGCTGATTGTTTCGTTGATAAAATTGTTTCATGATTTTGCAGGATCAAAGATATCGAAGAAAAAGGCTATTGCAATAGGTAAATATATGAAAACTCTGCCTCCTATATATTTTTCCGGAAATCTGAATCTAGCAACGGAAAATATTAATGACAGGAACCCATTACGAGTGTAATTAGTCAACTAATTGCACATATTGCGAGTACAAAATTGTAAGCAAAAAAACTCTCATGAGTAGGATTGCCACTAACATACAGTACATTCTTTTCCCTATGAATAAATGGAGAAACTATTTTAATCCCTCGAGGGAATATCCCTTGTTATTTGCATGTCACCTAAATGGTTATGAAAAAATTTGATGAAGGTTTTGCACAAAAATAGAGAGTATATACCAGAACCACGCATTTTCAATTGAAAAAGGAATAGAGTAATTGAAATTTCTTTATCCTTGGTAATATGACATTGTCTTAAAATGTTACTGTAGGTGTATCAGTCGTTTCAGGTGTAATTTTATTGTTCCTGCTTCTCATGTGCACCTTGTGTGTTAAGAAGTTCTGGCATGGTCTATTGTCCTCGATGGGAAAATCCAAAGAAGCACCAAACATCGAGTCCTTCTTGCAAAAGCATGAAGCTCAACACCCAAAGAGATATTCTTACTCAGAAGTGAAAACAATGACCAAATCTTTTAGTCACAAGCTCGGCCAAGGTGGCTTTGGTACTGTTTACATGGGCAAGATGCCAAATGGCAAGCCAATTGCAGTGAAGTTACTGAAGTCTTGCAAGGATGATGGCCAAGAATTCATGAATGAGGTAGCAAGCATCAGCAGAACTTCTCATGTTAACGTTGTCACCTTGTTGGGATATTGTATTGTTGAGATTATAGACATATAATGATTTAATCTATTCCATAAATAAATCATGACATTACAGATGAAAACTAGCATGAACGCATCATTAGATCTACACATGTATACTATACAGTATAACATGAACAGATCAAATATGCGCAACATATTGAACACGTACCGAGGTGACGGAAAGACCGGCTGCTTGGTCGAAACTTTTCGCAGGTGTCTACGAAGGCACGAAACACGCGAGCGAAGAGGAAGGCGAGCCGTCGCGAACGAACAGGGAGCAGTCGCGCGAAGCGCTTCCCAAAAACCTTATTGCCGCCTTCTCCCGGTGCAGGACGTCGAAGGCAGAGGTTCCGGAGACCTGCTCTCCCGATCGCCGGTGCACGCCGGCGAGCGGGATGGAGTAGTCTACGAGCGACGGCGCAGTACAGAGTAGGAGGCAAACCCTAGATTGATTTCGCGTATATTGCATGAAGACGGCAGGTCGGTTTATATAGAGAAGGGTCGCTTGATCAGGGCGCCCGCACGATCTCTACTGCGCGTAACCGAACCGGATAAGTCGCGCGTAACTTATCCGGACTCCACGCCGTTTGCACGCACCGGATTTTTCGGAACGTTTCCAAAACAAAAACGAATCCGAATTTGCAGCAAAACAAAACTGCAAAAGGAGGCTGCATCTGCGCAAGGGTGAGGAGCCAATTTTTTCGGACCATTCGACGCGTACGTCGTGCACGCGCGCCGCCGGCCCGGCCCGGCCCGGCCCGGCGAGGCGAGCGAGCGCGCGCGTGTGTTTCCCCTCTTCTCTCCACCACACATGCTTCAAGTGACTAGGAGGGCATCCTCCCTTTTAAGGAGGTCCCCCTCTCCTAGAATAAGCAAGGTGGTACTAAACTCCACATGCATGCCATCCCATGAGGTGGGCTTTTGTGATTTTCCAAAGAATTAATCTTCGAGTGGGCTAAGGCCCATTCATTAATTCCAACAATCCCCCACCAAATCTCAAAATCCCACTGAGATTTGCCTTTTCCAATGTACTGTTTATATACCAGCGGTTCGATAGAGACCAATTAAGGTTGAACATCCACCTAGAACTCCAAGCTACACTTACTCACAACTTGAACAATGGACTACGCCTTGAATTGCAAGTCTTGTGCAAGCAAGTTTCACTCAAAGTCTTATCTGGTACTAGACCGTCTGTAGACTATCCCTCGGGTGGAGCGTATAAGTCATACTCCTAGGTCTTTAGTAAGCTTCCTAGAAGATTCACCCAAAATCTTCATAGACTGCGACCAACAGTCAAGCTCACAAAGGTGAGTTCTTTCAAGAATGCTCTGCAGGACAACATCTTCGCTAATTAAAGCCAACAGAACTCATTAAGGCATAGCCAACCTGCCTTGCAGCTCACGAGAGTATATGCATCTTCACTTGGAGAGGGTATATATATTGGTACTCTCCTCTAGTTTATTAATGGTTTGTTCTTCCCAGGATCTAATTCACGGGATCTCCGATCACATAGACTGGGTTACCACCATAGTATAACTCACATGGGTCTCAAACCCATCTCCTTCGATGCATTGTCTATCACATTTCGTGATAGTCCCTTCGTGAAGGGATCTGCCAGATTTCTCGCTGTTTGAATGTAATCCAACATTATAACTCCGGAGTTTCTTAATTTCCTGACAGACTTCAATCGTCTTTTCACATGTCTAGACGATTTCATATTATCCTTAGAACTATTTACTTTGACAATTACCGTTTGATTGTCACAGTTCATAAGGATAGCCGGCACCGGTTTTTCAACAACAGGCAGATCCATTAATAGATCACGCAGCCATTCTGCCTCAACAGTAGCAGTATCCAGTGCCGTTAGCTCTGCTTCCATGGTTGACCTCGTCAAAATGGTCTGTTTGCAAGACCTCCATGAAACAGCACCACCACCCAGTGTGAAAACATATCCACTAGTGGCTTTGATCTCATCCACATCAGAGATCCAGTTAGAATCACTATAACCCTCCAGTACCGCAGGATACCCAGTATAGTGAAGCCCCAATTCCACAGTACCTTTCAGATAGCGCATTACTCGCTCAAGCGCACGCCAGTGATCATCTCCCGGATTAGAGGTAAATCGGCTCAACTTGCTCACAGCAAAGGAGATATCAGGCCTAGTTGCACTAGCCAGGTACATCAACGAGCCAATGATTTGGGAGTATTCCAGTTGACTCCTAGCAATTCTCTTGTTCTTGTGAAGCAACAAGCTAGGATCATAAGGTGTTGGAGAAGGCTTACTATCAATGTAGCCAAAGCGATTCAAGATCTTCTCCACATAATGGGACTGCAAGAGTGTAATCCCATTCTCACCTCTAATTAACTTAATGTTTAAGATAACATCAGCTACTCCCAAATCCTTCATATCAAAATTTTGAGACAAGAATGATTTAACCTCATTTATCACCTCAAGGTTTGTCCCAAATATCAGTATGTCGTCAACATACAAGCACAAAATAACTCCCTCACCCCCACCATGGCGATAGTACACACATTTATCTGCTTCATTGACTGCAAAGCCTGCAGATGTCAATGTTTTGTCAAATTTCTCATGCCATTGCTTAGGAGCTTGTTTCAGACCATACAAAGACTTCAACAATTTGCACACTTTGCCTTCTTGACCTTCAACTACAAACCCATCAGGTTGATCCATATAGATCTCCTCATCCAGCTCTCCATTAAGAAAAGCTGTCTTAACGTTCATTTGATGAACGAGAAGACCATGTGAGGCTACTAGGGAAAGTAGCACACGAATTGTGGTCAATCTAGCAACAGGTGAGTAAGTGTCAAAGAAATCTTCGCCTTCTTTCTGAGTATAGCCCTTAGCAACAAGCCGAGCCTTGTACTTTTCAATAGTACCGTCAGGCCTAAGCTTCTTCTTGAACACCCACTTGCACCCCACAGGTTTACACCCATAGGGCCGCTCTGTCACCTCCCAAGTCCCGTTAGCGATAATGGAATCCATTTCGCTACGGACAGCCTCCTTCCAGTAGTCTGCATCAGGAGATGCATATGCTTCTGAAATTGACTTAGGAGTGTCATCCACGAGGTACACAGTGAAATCATCACCAAAAGACTTAGCCGTCCTTTGTCTCTTACTCCTTCGAGGAGCTTCACTGACATCCTCCTCAGAGACAAGTTCATGTGTATGTTCAGTTTGTTCTGGTGGTGTGATTGAACTGGGAATTATTTCAGAGGGTTGGTTCGAACCACTATGTGTATCCTTCATTGGGCAAAAGCTCTCAAAGAAGGTACCATCACGAGACTCCATAATTGTACCAACATGCATGTCCGGTACCTCGGATTTAACTATTAAAAATCTATAGGCAATGCTATGATGAGCATATCCCAGAAAAACACAGTCCACAGTCTTAGGTCCAAGTTTGCGCTTCTTCGTTATTGGTACATTGACTTTCGCCAAGCACCCCCATGTGCGCAAATAAGAAAGTGATGGTTTTCTACCAATCCATATCTCATATGGTGTTTTGTTCTTATTTCTGTTAGGAACTCTGTTTAACACATGATTTAAGGTCAACAATGCCTCCCCCCACCATGCCTTAGGCAGTCCCGCGGTGTCCAACATGGCATTCACCAAGTCAGTCAGTGTGCGATTCTTCCTTTCAGCAATCCCATTAGACTCGGGAGAATAGGGAGGCGTCCTCTCATGTATGATGCCATGTTCCTCACAGAATAAGTCAAACTCGTTCGAGAAAAACTCTCCACCACGATCAGACCTAAGCCTTTTTATCTTTCTGTCAAGTTGATTTTCAACTTCTGCCTTATAAATTTTAAAATAGTCTAGAGCCTCGTCTTTCGTTTTCAACAAGTACACATAGCAAAATCTAGTAACATCATCAATCAATGTCATGAAATATCGTTTTCCACCCTTCGTCAACACCCCATTCATTTCACAAAGATCTGAATGTAGGAGTTCTAGTGGTGCCAAGTTTCTCTCCTCGGCAGCCTTGTGAGGCTTGCGAGGTTGCTTCGATTGCACACAACTATGGCACTTAGAACCTTTGACAATGGAAAACTTAGAAATTAAACACATGCTGGAAAGCCGAGACATCAAGCCAAAATTAATATGACATAAACGTGAATGCCAAACATTAGCCTCATCATCCACACTGCCACAAATATGGTTCACAGACTTATTGCAGAAATCAGAAAGGGAAAAGCGGAACAGGCCTCCGCACTCATAACCTTTACCAATAAAATATCCATGTTTAGACACGACTACTTTATTAGACTCAAAAACCAACTTAAATCCGTCTCTAGTCAGACGGGAGCCACTAACAAGATTCCTGTCGATAGAAGGGACATGCTGCACGTTCTTCAGCTGCACGATCTTTCCCGAAGTAAACTTCAGATCTACCGTGCCAACACCATGAACAGAAGCATGTGACCCATTCCCCATTAGGACGGTGGAACCCCGTGCGACCTGATAAGAAGAAAACAATGAGATGTCAGCACAAACATGTACATTGGCCCCAGTATCAACCCACCAATTAGTAGATTGATTAACTGAAAAAACAGTAGGTAAATTACCATACCCGCTTCCATCTCCAGTGTTGCCAATGGTCACATTAGCAGACTTAGAAGTCTGCCCTGCAGGTGCCTTCATCCCCTTGTGCTGTGGACACTTCCTAGCCAGATGACCAACTTGGCCACACACAAAGCAAGTCCTCTCATCCTGATTAGGATTGTTGTTGTTCTTCTTCTGCTTCTTGAAGTTGGTGGTCTGCTGAGCTTTGTATTTCTCCTTGCTCTTGTTCTGGGCCTTGTGCACAACATTGGCACTGGACTGCCCACCATCGCCCTTAGACGCGGCATCTTTTTCCCGAGCTTTCTCCTCAACATCAAGAGACGCTATCAACCCCTCAACGGAGTATTCCTGTCTCTTGTGTTTGAGTGCAGTACCGAAACTTCTCCAAGATGGAGGTAGTTTTGCAATAATGCACCCGGCCACAAATTTGTCGGGTAAGACACACTTAAGGAGTTCGAGTTCCTTAGCCATGGTTTGTATCTCATGAGCCTGTTCGACTACAGAACGGTTGTCAGCCATCTTGTAGTCATGAAACTGCTCCATGATATACAGATCATTGCTAGCATCAGTAGCACCGAATTTAGTATTCAGTGCATCCCACAACTCCTTAGCGTCGGTCATATGCATATACACCTCGACCAGACGATCGCCAAGAACGCTAAGAATGCATCCCACAAAGAGAGTAGTGGCTTCCTCGAATTGCTTCTGCTGTTCAGCAGTAAGAACTCCTTCAGGTTTGCCAGTACTCACCCAGAAGCATTTCATAGCTGTCAGCCACAGAGTGACCCTGATCTGCCATCTCTTAAAATGCACACCGGTGAATTTATCCGGCCTCAGTGCATCGGCAAAACCAGCCATAGTAAAATCACAGTGCCTACAATAAGGTTTTTGGATTGTTGAGATTATAGACATATAATGATTTAATCTATTCCATAAATAAATCATGACATTACAGATGAAAACTAGCATGGACGCATCATTAGATCTACACATGTAAACTACACAGTATAACATGAACAGATCAAATATGCGCAACATATTGAACACGTACCGAGATGACGGAAAGACCGGCTGCTTGGTCGAAACTTTTCGCAGGTGTCTACGAAGGCACGAAACACGCGAGCGAAGAGGAAGGCGAGCCGTCGCGAACGAACAGGGAGCAGTCGCGCGAAGCGCTTCCCAAAAACCTTATTGCCGCCTTCTCCCGGTGCAGGACGTCGAAGGCAGAGGTTCCGGAGACCTGCTCTCCCGATCGCCGGTGCACGCCGGCGAGCGGGATGGAGTAGTCTACGAGCGACGGCGCAGTACAGAGTAGGAGGCAAACCCTAGATTGATTTCGCGTATATTGCATGAAGACGGCAGGTCGGTTTATATAGAGAAGGGTCGCTTGATCAGGGCGCCCGCACGATCTCTACTGCGCGTAACCGAACCGGATAAGTCGCGCGTAACTTATCCGGACTCCACGCCGTTTGCACGCACCGGATTTTTCGGAACGTTTCCAAAACAAAAACGAATCCGAATTTGCAGCAAAACAAAACTGCAAAAGGAGGCTGCATCTGCGCAAGGGTGAGGAGCCAATTTTTTCGGACCATTCGACGCGTACGTCGTGCACGCGCGCCGCCGGCCCGGCCCGGCCCGGCGAGGCGAGCGAGCGCGCGCGTGTTTCCCCTCTTCTCTCCACCACACATGCTTCAAGTGACTAGGAGGGCATCCTCCCTTTTAAGGAGGTCCCCCTCTCCTAGAATAAGCAAGGTGGTACTAAACTCCATATGCATGCCATCCCATGAGGTGGGCTTTTGTGATTTTCCAAAGAATTAATCTTCGAGTGGGCTAAGGCCCATTCATTAATTCCAACATTCAGGGATCAAAAAGGGCTCTGATTTATGAGTTCATGCCTAATGGATCACTGGAGAGATTTGCTTTCAGACCAAACTCTGAAACTGAAGATTCACTTAGTTGGGAGAAATTGTTTGATATTGCAATTGGGATTGCTCGGGGACTTGAATATTTGCATCGAGGGTGCAATACTCGTATTGTTCATTTTGACATTAAACCCCACAATATTCTACTAGACCAAGATTTTTGTCCTAAGATATCTGATTTTGGATTGGCAAAATTGTGCAAACAAAAAGAGAGTATCATCTCTATTGATGGTGCAAGAGGGACAATAGGTTACATTGCCCCAGAGGTATTTTCAAAGCAATTTGGAGATGCAAGCAGCAAGTCTGATGTCTATAGTTATGGGATGATGATCCTTGAGATGGTTGGAGCAAGAAAGAATATCAGTGCAAGTGCAGATGTCAGCAGCAAATATTTTCCTCAATGGATTTATGAACATTTGGAGGGATATTGTGTCACAGCTAATGAGATAAGACTTGACACCTCTGTACTCGTAAGGAAGATGATAATCATCGGTCTATGGTGCATACAACTACTGCCTAACAATCGGCCTTCGATGACTAGAGTGGTTGAGATGTTACAAAGCTCTGCAGACGATCTGAAGATTCCACCACAAAGTTTCTTGAGTTAACATCGTCTAAAAACAACATGACAAATCTGTATTGTGTAACTGTTGATCTTGTATGACTGAACTTCAAAAGTACAAAAGTGCAATTGGACCTTAAGCAGAAAGCCGTCTCACATTTATTTCTGTAACATATACATGACACATAAAGCTTGCAGAGCAGAAGCTCATAACACACCGAGCACGTACTGAGCCTGGATTTTATTCTGAAACTTTAAACAGAACACTGTCTAGTGACTCATTTTATTAGTATACTTAAACTGACACCCATATGGCATAATGGCAGCCTGAAAACCATGCATATGCCATTGGTGTGCTACTGTATTGATGACCAGTGCGTGTGTGACCATACGAGGTGCTTAGCATTTGGGCAGGGGAACCTTGCAGGTGGCGAAGACCTTCTTGCCGTTGGGCGAGTTGACGTACTTCTTCATGTTCGGGTCCTTCTTGTACTGGCAGAAGCAGCTCGCCGGGTGCGCCTTCAGCTTCCCGCAGCACGCCGCCGTCGGCGGCGAGTTCCCCACGATCGCCGGCGCGCACGGCGTCAGCTGCGTCGGCGTGCACGTCGCCGCCTCCGCTCCCCGCATCGCCGCGGCCACCGCGAGCACCACCACCAGCAGGACGAACACTGCAGATGCCTTCGCTGCCATACTCAAAAACTTGTCTCAGCTAGCTCAGTGATCACTGATCAGTAAGCTGAAATTAAGCTGCGAGATGTGCTGTTGCTGTGAATGGAGAGTGATCGCTGCCTCGTCGGTGTATTTATAGGCATTTGCAGAGGTTTGCAGTAGGTGAGGCGCACCGTGAGCTCGGGCGCGGCGACGTGTTCGTCTCTTTGCGTGTACGAGCGGAGCAAAACATTTTATGATGATGTTAGTGGGTGGTGTTAGTGGAACGGGGAGAGTTTCAGAGAGTTCATCATGAGTGGGTTCAGACCGATGAAGCTATAGCTGATCAAGGAAAGTCTCATGAGGCGTGCCTCTGTAGAGTTTACACGTAGTAGAGTCGATGCATGCGCACTGATCAAAGCTAGGGGACATCTTTTTTTTGGACGGCAAGCAAACCAGGGGAGAAATTGCTGATCTTCACTGAAGCTTGTAGCAATGGCATCTCCATGGCTGACGAGAGCATGTGTCATCGTTTCGATCGACATTACCGGTTAATTAGGCAAGTCTAGTTTGCTGTGGACATGTGAATATAGGGATGTGGAATTTCATCCCTCGAGGCGATATCACCTTGTTATTTGCATGTCATCTAAATAGTTATCAAAATAATTGAAAAAAATAATAACATAGATTAATATGAAATATCTCAATCCACAAATATGCAAGATCAAATTTGACTTCTACAAGTTGCAACGAAAAGGATAAATTAAACTGAAAATAGTTATCGTGCATTCACGTATATATTTGTTACTTTTGTTACAATTTATAGAAGTTAAATTTTGATTTGCATGTATGTGAACTAATATATTTCATACTAATCTATTTTGGTAATTTTTTTTTTCATATTTTTAATGACTATTTAGGTGATATGCATGAAATGAAACGAGAGATATCTTCGTCCCTCCGGAGGATATCACCTCGAGGAGAAGTAATGTATAATGACCACGTACTGCGCATGGTCAATGTGGTCCTGAACTTTTGGTTGAAAATGTAGCAAAGCCATATCGCTTTGCAGATAGTGGTGGCACGTACATGGCACTACTCATAGTTGTATTGGAATTTGGAAAATGGCTATATTTACCCTTTTGTTGGGATGGCGCCAGATGTTTGCATGTTCCCGTGGTCTGTGGTTGTTTGTTTCAAATTGCTGTAGCCCGGTCATTTCTTGATGGAAATGTGAGAGGATCTCCCTCTCTTTCTAAAAAAAGAAAAAAGAGACAAAAGTAATTCTTGAAGAAAAAATGCGTACGTGAAAAATAATATGATTGGAGAAATTGTTCTAAACACTCGAATGGATGTCTCCTCACTGTTTGCATGTCGCTTAAATAATTATAATTTTTTTTTAAAAAAATTAACAAGATAGTTTAATATACGATATACCACTCCACAAACATGCAAAATCAAATTCGATTTTTATACGTTGCAAAAAAAACAAATTTGATCATGAATATATGTTAACTAATTGTAATTTTTTTATTGTGACTTATAAAAGTTAAATTTTACTTGCATGTTTGTGAAATAATATATCACATGTTAATATATCTTTTCAATTTTTTTCATAATTATTTGAGTAGCATGTAAATTATGAGGGGACGTCCCCTTGAGAGTTTAAAATCAACTCTCAATATGATTGACTGTGTACAGTTTTGTTGGTCTAGTGGTCAGGTTTTAATCCATTATCTAAGAAAAATACTGCTCCATTCATTCCAAAATGTAATAACTTTTAGCATTTAGGATTTGTCCTAAATATAATAACTTCTCTACCAACATTTCCTTCCCAACTTGACCCTTCAACATTCACTTTTCCCATTTACCTCCATTTTTCAATTAATCACAACCCCTTCCTATTTAATTATACCTACTTTTTAATAACTGTGTCCAACTCTAAAACTCTTTATATTCTGAGATGAGAGAGTATAAAATAGTCTGATTTTTTACCCTCAATTATAAAATCGTTATTTTGTAGTTGAGGATATCTAAATAAAAATAAGGTCACAGTTGAGAAAACTAAGTATAGATTATTATTTTTTTCGCGAGTCTCAAACTGCAGATTTTACTTCTGATTCTTCCATAAAGGTCGTTGTAGACAAAAGTCAATTTGCAGTTCTAGTTTATCGCCCAGCGTTGGATCCAGAATGGACGGGTGAGAGTAGGACATATGTACTGTAGGGAACTGCAAAAGTTGCAGAATTTTTTTTATTTTTAATTTTTTTTATTAAAAGTTTTACAAAAATAATTTTTCATTTTGAAAATTGACAGAAGTGGTCGCCTACCGCCCTCTGGGAGGGCGATTTTTAAAAATCGCCATCCCAGAGGGCGGCGAAAGTGACGTGGCAGACGGCCGTTCGCTCTCGGGCGACGGCCGTCAACGAAATTTGCAGGCGGCCCCCTTGCCGCCCTCCGCTAGGGCGATTTTGTACTGTGCGGGGGGCCGCCTGCAAATGGGCGGCGGGGGGCCTGGAATTTTGCAGGCGGCCCCCTTGCCGCCCTGGGGGAGGGCGATTTTATACTGTGCTTTATATTTTTTATAAATATCAATAGTTATCAATTTTTTTTATATTGAAAACTATACAATATTAAAATCTCCAAGACTGGTAAAATACAATTTTATTATTTTTTAGGGCCTATTTGGAATGTTACCGTACAAATATTTTGTTAGTGCCAAAATATAAGCAAGTTTTGGCACTACCAGATATTTGGTAAGGTAAAATTGCATTTGATCATATTTGGTTTGCTGCCAAAATGTAAAATTGTAGTGAAGAATGTTCTACATAATCTCAAATCTAGATTACGTATTACCAATGAATAGGCTTCAATCGAAATCAAACACAAGTACTATTCAAATTACCAAAATATTGGTAGGGCATGTTTTTGGTAGCAATCTAAATAGGCCCTTAGTCTTACGCATACAAAAAATCACCACCATAATTAAACATTGTAATGATAAGATAGATAAGAAGTGCCATCGATACACGGTACAAATTTGTCGATCCCGACGAATCAAGCATGCGGTAACCTATCGGCCCCTTCTAGGTCGGTCAGAATGCATTGCATTCTCGTGGTCCTTCAATCGTTGATACTCTACTTGTGTTTCTGACTCTGTTATCTTCTGGCCACGATATGATGGAGTGACATTGTCGATCCATCGAGTAAATCCACCCATCCTTGGATTGCCCTGTAAAAATAGTAATGTTATTCAGTTTGGGTAGTAATTTTGTGCAAATCATAGCGGATTTTGTAAATGGTTAGACATACAACGAAATCGTTGTCTACATTGGGGCAGACAAAATATCTCCTTCGAAATGTTTGTTCAGCAAAGGATGTAGCCACCTGCCAGCGATCTCTGCACCCACACTTTGGACGCTCGGACCATTTATGTAACCCTAATGGATTGTTCCTCCAGTCTAAACTTGCAATTTCCACCCGACGTTCGTACTCCATCCAAGCATGAATGAACTGTATGGTCGGTTCAGGTTGTGTTATCGGCCCGCCACTTGAAGTAACTCTGACTGTGTCAATCCATTGTACGAAAGTGTGTTGTCGTGAGCATAAGTTGTTCTAGCACCATATGAATGAAAAGAACTATGTAGACGAGACAAACACAAGTAGTACTGCAGTAGTAATAGTAAAAGTAGTACTGCTTTACAAGTTTGTAAGCCAAAAGAAACGGTCACATAAGGACTGAAGAGGTAGAACACTACTGACGAGGTCTCTTACCCCTGTCCCTCCTACCCTGCGCCCTAATGTGCCCCTGGGAGTACGTGAGTCGGTCCGGGGGTACGGCACGGCCAACCCGTCCTGCCTGTACAGGTGTGACCTCTGGCTGCTCCTGAGTGTGCGCCTCTGGAGCTCCTCCAAGCTGAGAGGAGCCTAGTACGTCGTGGTGGTGTGCACCGTGCAAGTCGTCGTCGTAGAACTGGCTAGTAGGACCAGTCCTACCGGCGTGAGACGAAGAGGCCCCAGTACCGAAGATCCCGGCTGCAAATCCTGCTGGACAAGGACCATCAGTTTCATACATGTATTTAATAGTATTAATAAAAAGTAAAGTACCGTGTGGGCGAGGGATCGACGCTCCGTGAGAGGAAGAGCTGGCGAACGCGCCCGAAGAGGTGGCGAACGCCCTTGCGGAGCTCGCGGAAGCGCCGGTCGTGCCTGCGAACGCGCTCGAAGGCAGACGAGGTCCTGCGATGAGGAAACGTGCAGTTAAAACATGGTGACATATTCGTGCAAAAGCTGAAACAAAAATGAACTAATCTCTGGGCTGAACTGTACCGTGCGAAACCGGTGCTGTAGGTCGCACTGCTCCAAAGCTAGGGGCGCTCGAAGGCAAACGAGGTCCTGCGAGGATGGAACATCAAGTTACGACGGGGTGATGTTTTCGTACAAAAACATAAACAAAACTTAAGAAACCTCTGGGCTGAGCAGTACCGTGCGAAACAGGTGCCGTAGGTCGAGGTCCTGCTCCGACGGTAGGCGCGCGAGGCCGTGGTTGTACCGGACCAGCTGGAGGTACGACGTCCACGGCGCTGCGACAGGAGAAGACGCGCATGACCGCACGCATCTTCTCCTGCATCCGGTCGAAGGTCACCCTCTGCTCAACGTCAGTCAAGTGCAAACCTCTGTTCAACCTCACTTGGACTGCGGTGATATCGTGTAACACCCTGAAAATTCGACCGACAAAACCAAAACTCTAAAAATACGGATTCTCAAAAACTTTTTAAACTAATTGCATCATGCCGATCTTATTCGTCTATTTTATCTGGAGTTGATCTCGAGGATTATTAATCGTGAGTAAAGAATAGTTAATTAGAAATAAACCTTAAAAACAAATTGGTAAAATAAATATAAATTAAAAATAAAAATTAGGTGTGGATAGTAATAAATAAAATATTATCGCGACCATATTTGGATCAATTAAATTTCATTGTGATGGAATAAGAATTAACCCTAATTAAAGCTCAAATAAATTATATAAAAATAAAATATGAGTAATATTAATCTAGGGTAAATTCATTAGTTAAGATAACATGAACACTGAGTAAAATGCATATATGTAAAATTAGGAATTGTGGAATCAAATTTATATGGGAAATACTCTAAAATCGGTTTAATGGAAAAAGGGCACTGTTCATCGGCCGCCACGTGCTCGACCGTGTCCCCTAGCCCAGCCCCTCCTCTGCCGCACCCGCCTCG